GTGTGTGTGTGTGTGTGTGTGTGTGTGTGTGGGGGGGGGGGGGGGACAGGTCGTATCCCGCGGGCGGTCGCGTCCATAAACCAGCACGTGTTGACCTCTGAGGATGTGGTGAGCTGTTGTCTGGACCTGGGAGCTCCGAGCATCTCTTTCAGGATTAACGGACAGCCCGTTCAGGGCATGTTCGAAAATTTCAACACAGACGGGCTCTTCTTCCCTGTGGTCAGCTTCTCTGCAGGGGTCAAGTGAGTGTTTATTTGTTTCTACTGTGTCTTGTCTGAGATGAACAGCCTCCCTGAAGTTCCTCGATGATGAATGGGCTACACAGGCAGATGAGACGGACGAGCCAAAAGAAAAAATATATATTATAATATATATTATTATTATTATGATATACTTATGTGTGTGTATGTTATATATATATGTACTTCATATTCTGCTCTGTTCAAGCTCCAGCGGATTTCCCATGATTCCATGATTGACTCTTGACTTTGTAGAGCAAAGCTGCATTTTGCATTCACAGTTTTCTTTGAAGCCCAGAGACCTTTGACACCGAGAGACTGGTCTGATTTGATCTGGTCATGTAAGCTATTTGAAATCCTTATTGGGTGATAAAAATGGATTCTCAAAAAGTGATTCCAAACCTGATGGCTTGTGAGCCGTGGAAAAGAAATGTGATTCAGCAAAGTTTGTTTCATAAAAGAATTTCAGGGTGGACTTGACACTTTTCCTCAAAGCTTTAAAGCAACATGTCTTTGCCTTTCAAAGATACTGGAATGTCCCGAGTTCATTTATTTTCTGGACTTTGTTTCAACAGTCAACAAGTTTGCGGTCATGCTAGCAGCTCTGTGCGGCTGTCTTTAGGCACAGCGGTACCTTGAGCTAAATGCAAACGTCAGCATGCTAACATGTCTACAATGGCAACGTTAACATGCTGATGTTTAGCAGATATAATGTGTCATTGTTCACCATCCTAGTTTAGCATGTTGGCATGCAAATTAGCATTAACACAAAGTAGAGTAGAGGCTGATGGGAATGTCATTAGTTTTGCAGGTATTTGGTTATAAACCAAACGGTTGGACAACTTTAAGTTCTGATTGATGACGGCACTAGAGGAATAGTCAGGGAGTCACCACAGCTTACAATTCCTCCAGAGGGGACATGATGGTCTGTACCAAACGTAATGCCAATCCATCTAGCAGTTGAGACTTTTCAATTAGAGTTGATTTTCAGCATTTCATAAGGAAAGTATCACCTTATAACCACTTTTGTGTGGGTTATGAATCCTCCGAGCTTGAACTTGAAACTGACCCACTGAACGGGTTGAATATCTCCTTGGTTTTAAACATGTCAGAAGATGACAGCTGCGCATCTTCCCTCCACAATAATTGAGGGTTTTAGTCAGAATGGGCTTGGTTGCGTCACCACTACTACTTCAGTAGTTATTTTGGGCATCCTCAGGAGAGCCTCTTCACAGTGATGGCCTGCGTCTCAGCTAAACTTGTGGATTTAGAGGAGAAAAACTGTTGCATTTAGCTACATGGTAGGTTTCCTTTTCCCTGACTGCTTCTTTCATTAATAGCTGTCTAATTATCACTTTTGATTAGATATATAATTAATTTTTTCACACACTTTTTCCCCTATTAATCATCTTGTGTGCAGAATAACAGATGTAATAACATTGTATCACGTTAGGGTGCGTTTCCTGTTGGGTGGCCGACATGGCGACTTTAAGTTCCTGCCTCCGTCAAGTTATGCTCCGTGTTATGAAGCACTGCTACCAAAAGAGAAGATGAAGGTGGAGCCGGTGAAAGAGTACAAGAGGGATGTGGAGGGAGTCCGAGATCTGCTGGGCACCACACAGTTCATGTCGCAGGCCTCCTTCATCCCCACACCTGTTGAAACTGGCCAGGTAAACCAACAGCCAGACAAATATGTTGATAGCCTTCTCTCTGTTTAACGCTTTTACTTAGATTAATACTTTGCCTGTTTCCTCAGATTGTGATGCTGCCTCATTTAGAGAAGGTTCGAGACAAGCTAGCAGAGAACATCCATGAACTGTGGGGGATGAATAAAATCGAGCTGGGCTGGACGTATGGCAAGGTGAGAAATATGCAGATTCCTTCACTCGTATAATACTCTGCCAACAAAATCATCACAGTGGATCTAAAGATAAAAAGCATAACTCATACATTTTGCCATGTTTGGGGAGAAATAAACATCCCAATTGCACATGTTCTATACAAGTTTGAGATAAGGAGCTTCTTGAAAAGCATTAAATGTTGGTAGTATTAGAATTGAATCATCAAAAGCCTGTACGTCATCTTGCTTTCTCTTTTATAATTTGCTGTTCACACCAAAAAGAGGGTAAGTGGAAAGAAAACTCTCGTTTTCCATGATCGATGCCTTTCATGCCATTCAGTAGATGCTTCATTGTGTCTGTGTTTTAGTAGAAGTCATGAATAACAAAGTATTGTTTCACCAAAGGGCAGGACGGGGTGTTTTGGCAATTTCAATGCAGCAATAAACCAAGAGGAAAGCCTGTATTTTATTTGTCTGTATTTAAAGACTTAATCCGTCATCCAAATGTAATCGCAGGGGTTTTATGAGGCAGCTATAGTTTGACATTTTGGGAAAAAGGTTTGTCTGTTTTCTAGCAGATCAATACAGAAGAGGTATTTAATTAGTGATCTTTAGAGACTGTTTCTTTGGAGAGGTGCTTTCTTTTGGATTGAGTCAGGCTAGCTGTTTTCCCCCGTTTCTAGTTTGTTTGGTAAGCTAACCCTCTCCTGGTTCTCTTGACTAGAAAGTGAATAAGTGTATTTCCCAAAATATCGAATTATTCCTTCAAAGTTGATGACTCTCTTGGTTTATTGTACATTAGCTAAAGGATAATGCCAAAGTGACCTGTTTTGCCCCGAAGGGAACAGATGACAACACAAACAACAACATGGAACACAGCTCTTATGTCTATAATACAAACGTATATATCAGAATACTCCCTATATTGTTAATACGCCAGCTAATACACGGACCTTCATCCTGTGCGGCACCTCAACAGAATCTTTAGTTTAGCATGAACATTTCATTGTTAAGGAGTTTTTCTTACTTCAGGGGTCAGATGCACAAATGTGTCAAATAGTGAGATGTAGTTATGGTGCACATCGTGTTACAGTGACTGTACAGTAGTGTTGGATGTGGTTACACTGCAGCTCATTATGTGCTCTGTAGTTTTCATTGTGATTCATTACAGCAGCATTCACAGTAGACGTCCTGAAGAAGTGTTCGTTATTTTTGTCCTGGTGTCATAAAAATCCGTTCTTTTTTTATTTTTATTAGTTTATTCCACAAATGTAATTATGTAAAATAAAGAACTGCCAGATAAGTGATTCCCCACAGAGTTCTTGTACTATTCACAAAAGAGCTGGCTGGTTTTCATTGGACCCACACGCACAGCTGCATAGCTGTACGCAGCCCCGCATGTTTTCTTGGTAAACATCCGCCATTGCCATGCCGCCTCCTCTGAGCAGCATTGCCAAAAGGATTATTTGGCATACGGTGCAGCCTCGAAAGAGGCATTACACCTCTCACTTGTTATTCTAGTCTTACACCTTTCCGTCTCCCCCAAGAAAACATGCTCCCTTGTTCCTCTTTCATGACATCTTCACTAGAGTACACTTATCACTGCAACCAGTAGCACCCTGTATTTAAACCACATTCTCCCCTCCTTGTTGGTTTACAATGACACCGACTTACAAGGCTGTGCATTTCATATGCATATATTTAGTCAACTTTCCCACATAATTCACATACAAATAGAGGGACTATGGGCCAAAGTTGCAGAACACAAAATGAAGTTGAAATATGATTTCTGTGACTGTTCTTTTTCTCGTAGATAAGGGATGATAATAAGCGGCAGCATCCGTGCCTAGTGGATTTCTCCAAGCTGCCAGAAACTGAAAAGAACTACAATCTGCAGATGTCAACAGAAACTCTGAAGTATGTTGAGCGTTATGGATTGATCTTCTCCACGGTGCTTTTGCTTTTGAAGAGATAAAGAAAGAGTGTTGGACTGAGTCAAAGAAAGTTAATTACAAACAAAGACGTGAAAGAGACTTGGATTTTTTGTTTTAAACAGTTGTTTATGAACATTATTTTTGGAGCATCACAGACATCACCTACAGTCTAAATGAAGGAGTTTAAATTATAAACAAAGTACTAAGACAACACTAAATGCACAAATGCCTTTGGTCAGATATGATCCTCACTTTGCATTTCCAGTGTCGCTCAACCAAACAAGTCTTGCTCGTCTTTTCCATTCGTCTTGGTTCTGCTCACAAAGGTCTCAGTGAGACTTATTACAAGTGCTTAACATAAATGCTCTTTAAACGATACAGGAGAAAGTGGGGGTTTGCTGTGATTAATCTGCACATCTGGGTGACACTGATGGGTTTTCTGAGGGACATCAAACTCATTTTTACTGTCACTGTTTGCTCTCACACGGTGTGAAGAAACTTTGTCAAAAGCACTTCACACCCACTGCCTTCCTCTGGGTTTTCTTTGGCCTTTTTCTCCAGACAGATTAGGACACGCGCAGTTTAACCCATCACTGCTCCATTTGAACACTCCCAGCACCTCAAACGGTGCTGTTGGATCTGCATGCACTGTCAAATCCGAAGTAATGTCAAGGTGCTGATTAAACACAATCTGCAGCTGCATGCGCTCACTCACTTGCTGCTGTATTTGCCCTCAGGACCCTGCTGGCATTGGGCTGTCGTGTAGTTCAGGTCAACCCAAATGCTGACAGCTCCCTCAAAAAGATAAAACTCCCTAAGAAGTAAGTGTGCATGCTAATATTAACTGTACAAAGTCCATCGGAACACATATTTCTTATTTAAATGTAGCTCAGACCACATTGGTTGTTATTCTGTACTTACTGATTGTGATTGTGCCGATAGTTCTATAGAGACTTTATTTGAGAAAGGCGATTTATATTTTAACCATCAATTGACACCTTATTTTGAGGGCTTTATGACCAGCAAGATCAGAAATGATATATACTGTACATCTTAACTACGTAAACTAGTGCTGGTGGATTTACCCTTTATTACTTCCATAAGTTTTTATCTTTTTTCCTTTAGCTACATGATGTCCAATGGTTATAAGCCGTCTCCTCTGGACCTCTCTGACATAAAACTGACTCCAGGTCAGGAGCTGCTGGTGGACAAACTGGCAGAGAATGCACATAATGTGTGGGCCAAGGACCGCATCAAACAGGGATGGACCTACGGCATTCAGCAGGTACTGTATGTTGGATGTATTCATGTACAATATGCTGGGACCAACACAAGATTAGATTCAATTAAATTCACACTTTTATTTTCTTATTTTGTAGAGAAAAGAGGCAGCTTTGTGTCCAGCTTTGTCACTGCATTTTTTTATGTGCTAAACCTGAATGTTGTACACGACTGCTAGCTTTTGCTAATCTCATTTCTTTGGTCATACTGTGGATGGTTGGTTTTGGTAAAAACAAAACAACATCTGCATTCTGTTGGCTTTTCGCTTACTTCTGAACATCTATTGAGAAATAATTTGATGCATCTTGCAGAATATTACCAAGTGCAACCATTCTTCTCACATTAAGCTGATCCCTGAACGCAAGTAAGATACTGGATAGAGTGAAGAGTTCTGAAATCCCTCATTGATTCAAAGTAAGCAGCAGATGTACAACTTAGAAGGCACTTGATGTTTGTGTAAACTGGCCATTTTTCCATCTTTCCCTTCTCTGCCATTTGAAGTAAATAAAGTTACACCTCTGTGTCACACGTCGGCATCTGTCTTGAAAGCAGATGCTTGGTCATATTTTCTGTGTTGTTTGTAGAACAGGGGTTGTAGTTGATGACATGAGACTGGGTAACTGACCAGTGCATTGGAAAAATGCAAATTTCAATTAAGCCCTTCAGTGATATCTAGGAAAGCTGCGATGCCAGACCAAACAAACAACGTGTGATCTGTATAACCAGCACAAGATTTCAAATTAAGCTCCACAAATCTGCTTAAGTAGTATTAATGTGATACTTCCCCGGTTGCTCCTCGAGGCCCAGTGAGAGAGAGGCTACAGGAAATGAATGACACAGGAAAGATGGAGAGGATGATGGGCAGCAATAGCACAGTGGCAATAACTGGACAATTAACTACTTAATTACAGGGATTGACGGCACATTTGTAGCATGAAATCTTCTCTGACTGCCTCTCCTCTCTGCAGGATCTGAAGAGTAAGCGTAACCCTCGCCTGGTTCCCTATGTTCTGCTGGATGAGCGCACCAAGAAGTCGAACAGGGACGGCCTGCGGGAGGCCATCCGCACTCTGATTGGCTATGGATACAACATCGAGCCCTCGGACCAGGAAGGCGGTGAGTCTGACTCATGGATGTATGCCACTCTAAATGCACGGACGGTCAAATTATATAGTAGATGACAAAATGCTTGTTACAAAGAAATGGGAAAATTGTGTGTGACTTAATTTTGTTGGAGAGGATTCAGCTGGTTTCGAAGCAGCAATCCACGACTTGACACCGTGACTATCCCTTCCCCCCTGCAGGACAAGTGGTTGAGCGGCTCAGCATCGACAAGATCCGCTTCTTCAGAGTGGAGAGGACGTATGCAGTGAGGAGCGGGAAGTGGTACTTTGAATTTGAGGCTGTGACAGGAGGAGACATGAGAGTGGGCTGGGCGAGACCAGGGTGTAAGCCAGATGTGGAGCTTGGCACGGATGAGCTCGCTTTTGTCTTTGATGGATACAGGGTAAGCCGTCGACCGAACCTAAATCAGTCGCTTGATAATCATTTGCAATGTGTGGTGGAATTCATGTTGATTACTCCACAGAAAAAGATTTTAACAGGTCATAGGGATTCAAACCTAAAGTCCAATTTCTTTCTAACTCTATGGGGTTCTAATATTGTTGATGAAGTGTATTTTTTTACTATTGTTCTAACTTGTCCTTTCTTTGATTTAAATACTTTATCATTCAGATAGATAGATGAAAGTAACTCCATTTTAAAAAATGACTTATTTCAGAAAAAAATAATGGACTTAATTGAAAAGGAAGGACTTGAGATGGATATTTCTTGTAATATATATGCCATAACTCGCTCCTGAGTGTTTTATTTTACGCTTGTACATGTACTGTATATAGGGCCACTGTCTGAACATGGGCAGCCGTTTGTTCGGGCGGTGCTGGCATGCTGGGGACGTGGTGGGCTGTATGATCAACATGGAGGACAAGTCCATGATCTTCACCCTTAACGGAGAGATCCTTATCACCACCAAGGGCTCTGAACTCTGCTTCACAGACTTTGAAACTGAGGACGGTGAGACATGTGGATATGATGTGTGCGGTAACCGAGTCGAGTTATACATGCTAAAGGTCTGGGAGTGTCAGGCTGGTGAGGGGATCGTAGAAAGAGCTGTTCACTCATCTTTTAATAAAAGCTTCACATGCAGAGCCAAGGAGCAGTAAACTAGAATGACCATGCTGGGGATATAAGTGAAAATGAAGTGGCTCCCTGTAACAAAATCACCCTTATTAAATGTGACAGTTGTAAATTGCCTTTTTTTTAAAGCTGGATTGATTTCCCCTCCCCTCCTGCTGTGTGTGTTCTTAGAGGTTATTTGTTCTCGCCTCATTTCTCTCCCTCCTTTATTTCCTCTGGCCGTCCTTCAGGCTTTATTCCAGTGTGTAGCCTCGGTCTGTCTCAGGTGGGCCGTATGAATCTGGGGAAAGACGCCAGCACCTTCAAGTACTACACCATGTGCGGCCTTCAGGAGGGATTCGAACCTTTTGCTGTCAACATGAACCGAGAGGTCACCATGTGGTTCAGCAAGCGTCTGCCTACTTTTGTCAATGTGCCAAAGGACCATAACCACATCGCAGTAAGAACAAAAGCAGTGTGATATTTGGTGGTACAAATCACAGAAATTGGTCATTGTATAATTGCAAAGACTTTCTTCCTGTTTGCAGGTGACCAGGATCGACGGCACCGTTGACAGCCCCCCGTGTCTTAAAGTCACCCACAAGACGTTTGGCACCCAGAACAGCAACGCGGATATGGTGTTTTGTCGTCTCAGCATGCCTGTAGAGTTCCACTCCATCTTCAAATCCAGTCCTGTTATTGACATGAACGGAGTCCACGAAGATGACACCCTCAAAGTCAAACACAGGTTCTCAAAAGAAAATCATGAATTTACTCCATGCAGCTCCTTCCAAAGCATCATAGCTACCATATTTAATGGCTGATCCACTTCCACCAGATTGTTGACATTCATGACATCACTCGGACTACTCAAATTCAGTGTCAGTTAGTATGCAAATAATTCAAGTAGTTGTGACGCAGTTAGAGATGTTTTGGATTTATCAGATATCTTAAAATGTCTTTGAACATTACTCAGCCAGTCAGAGCTGAAGACTAAAATATCTTGATAATCACCTGTTGAATGCGGTTTTCCGATAGGTATCCATTGCGATCTGTGAGGCAAAGTGATGAAAGTAGAAGAGTGGACTACAGCAGCATCACCACGGTATTAAATAACCTTTTTCTTTCCGTACCATTTGGTTGCACCACCTACGGCGTTGGCTAACTCTTGCGTGTGTCATTGCAGTACTATTACTCGGTAAGGGTCTTCGCTGGCCAGGACCCTGCCGATGTGTGGGTTGGTTGGGTTACCCCTGACTACCATTACTATAGCAACAATTTCAACCTCAGCAAAAACCGATCGGTCACTGTAACCCTGGGTGACGAGCGAGGACGAGTCCATGAGAGGTGAGACCTTTCTTTACCTATTTTCAATCAAAATGTACTGTATGTCATCATACAGAAGGTGACTGATATTTGCACACTACTAGTGTTAGGAGGAGTAACTGCTACATCGTGTGGGGCGGTGATGTGACCAACGCGGCTCACGCATCCAGTCGCAGCAATGTGGACCTGGAGATTGGCTGTCTCATAGACCTCTCCACCGGCCTGGTGACGTTCACAGTCAATGGCAAGGAGATAGCCACATCCTACCAGGTACACGTATGATGTTCAAACATTGTTTTATATTGTGTTTTATGAAGTAGATACAGTGTATAATGATAGAATAATCTGAATGTGGAACTTTTTAAGGTCATTTAAGGTTGCTTTTAAGCTTCCATGTGATTTTTGCTTGTTCACTCATTCATTTGTACCTTCTGCCGTGTATGAATTAATGTTTCCATCCACCTGTAAGTCACCATCACTACATGTCTAACTCTCCTTCCACTCTTCTTTCTATCAGTTTATCCTGTTCACCTTGATATTAACTCATCTTCTGTATTTTCATATTTTCCTTTTTGAAGTCTGTGTTGTTCAATTTCAGACTTAGAACTTTCCCATTCAGACACATTCTGAGAACTAAATCCTAAAGAAGGGTATAATCTTCTTCTGTGCTCGCTCACTGAAGCTCTGAGGCTCCACCCAGCGCTGAGTCATCCTGCCAGCCGACATTCTTAAATGATCGTGCATACACATACCTAAGTAGCGAGGAGTTTCATGATGCATCATTAGCTGCTTTCCGCAAGTCATGCTCTTTTGCTGCTCCTCAAGCTTTTGATGTGTACTTCCTGTTTGGACCTATTATTATAAACGTACTGCTCTTTGTTTCTGCTCCAGGTGGAACCCAACACCAAGCTTTTCCCTGCTGTGTTTGTGCGACCCACCAGCCCTAACCTCTTCCAGTTTGAGCTGACTAAAATAAAGGTAGAGTCCCCTAATTGCTCCATTGCAACTTTGTTGCCTGTATGATGTCATAACATTGTACAAATAGGAGAAAGAAGACAGAATCCTAAAAATGCACACAGTATTGGTCGATGAAATTTATACAGCTCGCAGTATGCTCCTTTTCGTTTTCACCTTTCCGACCTTATTCTACCTCACACCGAGTTTAGAGATGCAGCCCCCATACAGGATTATGCTTCACACCCTTCAGCTAGGTCCACTGGGCTAATGTTTTATCATGCTTATATCTACACTAAAGATAATGAGCGCTTCACCAACACGATGGGTGCTTATGTCAGTTGTTTGGATGAGAAATAGGAAAAGATTATGTTTAACTGCTTGTTTGGCATTGAATAATAGGAATATTCCTTCCACGTTTGTTTGTCCCCTCCAGAATGCCATGCCTCTGTCATCCGCCATCTTTAAGAGTGAACATAAGAACCCAGTGCCCCAGTGTCCACCCCGGCTAGATGTCCAGACCATCAGCGCCGTGCTGTGGAGCCGCATGCCCAACATCTTCCTCAAGGTGGAAACAGCCAGGGTCAATGAGAGACACGGCTGGGTGGTCCAGTGTGTGGAGCCCCTGCAGATGTTGGCCGTTCATATACCTGAGGAGAACAGGTGCAGTGCATGGCTTAGTGTGCTTAAGTGCTTAATCTATTCAGTGCGTTTTAGTTGATCTCAAAGGACATTGTACCTAAAACTTTTGTCTAATTCCTTTTCCCCCCTCATAAAACACTTGCAAACGCATAATTTATAAAATATTATAAAAAACAGCTCTGTAGTTCTACTAGAGGTCAAAAACTCCAGGGAGCCTTTAACGATCCTTATTTTATTATCCTATGTGTTAAATAACACCTGTTTGTCCTCCAAGTAGACTAAATCAGAACATCAGCATGTATTTTGATGATCCTCTCTCACTTCTTTTCAAAGGTGTGTCGACATCATGGAGCTGTCTGAGCAGGAGGACATGAGGAAGTTCCACTACCACACCCTGAAGCTCTACTGTGCCCTCTGCGCTCTGGGCAACACCCGTGTGGCCCACGCCCTCTGCAGCCACCTGGACCAATCACAGCTCTTGTACACCATCGACAATCAGTACCTCTCAGGCATGCTACGTGAGGGATTCTACAATGTCTTGATCAGCACCCACCTGGAGACAGCTAAAGAGGCTCGACTCACGATGAAAGATGAGTTCATCATCCCCGTCACGGCCGAGACGCGCTCCATTCGCCTCTTCTCCGATGCTTCCAAAAAGCACCTCCCGCCAGGGGTGGGGCTTAGTACCTCGCTCAAACCCCGCCTCAACTTTGCCCCGCCCTGTTTCATCAGCACCAAACGGGAACAACATCTCTATAGTCCCCAAATCCCACTGGATGCATTGAAGGAGAAATCGATTTCAATGTTGACAGAGGCCGTTCAGGGTGGCGGCCACCACATCAGAGATCCCGTAGGAGGAGGAGTGGAGTACCAGTTTGTGCCAATCTTGAAACTCATCAGCACCTTGTTGACTATGGGTGTACTAGGTAGCGAGGACGTTCATAAGATCTTACTGCTCATTGACCCAAATGTTTTCAGAGAGACACGTGAGGAGGGGGCTTCAGGGGCCACAGACAAAGAAGGACTTACAGGGACGGAGGAGAAGGCAGTGGAAGCTGGAGAAGAGGAGGCAGCCAAAGAGGCTAAACAGCCAATGAAAGGACTGCTGGAGAAGAGGCTGCCAGAGCCTGTCAAACGCCAGGTGATAACAAACACACATGAACAGAGCTGACATCATCATATATTTGTTAAACCTTAAAGTAAACCACCGAAGGTAAATCACTAAAAGATGTAAAATCAATGAACATCTTCATCTCCACAGCTGTGCTCCATAAATGCACCACTGTAATAGACTCATTTAGAAATCAGTCAAATATGAAATTACTCGTATTGAACAAATTATCTCTTAAATGTCTCTTCAATAAGTTGGATGATGTGAAGCCATGAGGCTGCTTGTATGTATTCCTAACAGACTTGCTCGTAACAGCTGCATCGAGGTGTGAAACAGTGATGCAACATTGTTCTTTGTCTGTCTCCTCCCCTTGTCTGTTCCCCAGATGTGTGAGCTGCTTCACTACTTTTGCGACTGCGAGCTGAAGCACCGCATCGAGGCCATCGTGTCTTTCTCCGACAGCTTTGTCTCCAAGCTGCAGTACAACCAGAAGTTCCGCTACAACGAGCTGATGCTGGCCCTCAATATGTCTGCTGCTGTTACCGCAAAGAAGACCAAAGAGTTTAGATCGCCCCCTCAAGAGCAGGTGGGATGAGGTCATAGTCGCTGCAGATTAGTTACATCTGCAAAACTAACTAATAATGTTCCAAATAGCTCAAGAAGCAGTTTCAGGTCACTACATTGTAGGTTTTCTACCAAAATGTGTTCATCAGTTACTTTACCACATCAAAGACTAAGGAACATTTACATTTTACAGTTATATACTACATGATATGATGATTATGATTGAGAGATTATATTATGTTGTTATATTCAGACACATCAAAATAGAAAGAAATAAGCAAAAAAAAACTCCATATTAGTATAGCAAAGCACTAATACGCAATGATTAATGTTGCCCTTGAATACCAAAAATGTAAGATAATTTAACTTTTTGAGCAGAATGAAATAATACATTTATCTTATCCGCATACTTAAAGGATTACAGGTGTTTCTGCGTGTCCTGGCTTATTAGGCTCCATGCACTAATGAGATGATAGAAGTGTAATTTGTCACCCTGGCAGCTAACTGTAGAGTGAGGAAGATGTCAATCAACCACAGCCTGCACACTCCTGACAGGAGCTCCAATCATCATCCCTGGTTAACCATTTTCGGTATCCAGTGATCTATGCTAACACATGTCAAAAATACAACAGCATCAACACTACATATCCTCTTGAAAACCCCATCATTCACTCTCTTATGTGTAACAAGATGTACATTTTCCACTGGAAACATTTACATGTTGTTTAAGTAAGACTGCCACTCCATACTGTGGGTAATGTTCGGTAACGGCTCTTTTCACCTACTCACAGTTATGTTGTGACGTCTTTACGCGCGCAGTTTCACATCAATTTGCACCTCTGTTCATGTGATTTGGACAACTCTCATGCGTCTGCTGCGTGATCTTTTTGATGCTTATGTGACCTAAAGGTCCAAATCACCCACAGAGGGCAAATGCAAGAAACTGCGTAAGTTAGAACTGATAAATCTTACAGTTAAGCACGCATGAATCTATAATAACTGACCACAAAGAAAGCCTGCAGGCTCACTGCTTCAAATGATGCATGAAAGAGGATAATTCAGAGGGAGCTGTTGCATAACTTGTGTAATTTTCCACATGCATGGCTAATTTCTCTCCCTACCCTCAGATTCCCTTTTTAGTGTTTCGGCAGAATTCCCTAATTTTGTTTCCAGGAGAATGGGAGCTAGTCCTCGCTCCAAATATTGCAAGCACTCTCTTTGTGTGCTATGAACAACGCCTCAAGGCGAACTCATCCTTCTTCTCTGTGGTGTCATTGCACCAGTGAGCGTGAGCACACACACACACACACACACACACACACACATACACACACACACATACATACACACACAGCAGCCCTTTAGGGTCACAGCTGGAGATTGAGTTCAGCGCTTCACAGCTACTTTTAATGACTTGTCATGGTGTCCTTCGGTCTGTGAGAGCCGAGGGAGAATTAGACACTTCAACTGTTTTTTATTTTTTATTTTTTCTTCTTCTGTGAATCCTACAATGAGATCACATCGTGTTCAGATTGCCATTGAAACTAAAGTACCAGACGTAGTAAGTGTCTGCCTTTATGTTTCCATACTTCAGATCAACATGCTGCTGACTTTCAGTGTGGGCGAGGACTGTCCGTGTCCAACAGACATCCAGGAGGAACTGTATGATTTTCACAACCAGCTGCAGCTCCACTGTGGTGAGATACAGATATTGCAAAACGTTTTATGAGCAGCTTTATTGGTTATCTCTATCTTATGATGCTTGGATTGAGTGCATAATTTAATACATATATTTTACAAAGGCAGCGTGGATGGAAAATGTAAATATAGGAAAAGAAAAAAATGTAACAGAGGAAATGCATAGAGTTGTGCCTTTTCCATCTACTGCTTTAGCTGCTATTGTGTCAACATCAGCTGAATTGTTCCAGTACTTGCTCTCAGAAATGTTTTCTTTCCCAATCAGCATCTCTCTCTGTCTCCCGGCACAGGAGTTATAGTCCAGTGCTTCTCACATTGCTCTGACATCTTGATGTTGTGATAAATCATTGAAATGCCCAACCCTCTGTGGTACAAATGATCTAATGGCACCGACGTGCCATGGCACGCTCCGCATAGACGGCAATGAAAACCAAGTTGAAATTGCCAAGAAATAGTACTGGGCACCCAATACAACGCATCACACACACGGCATGTCTGCTAACCCGACAGGAAGAGTAGAGATATTGCTGTAATAGGCTTTGCTCTCCTTGTACTGTATATAGCATGTCTGTTTGTGTTGTGCAGGGATCCCTATGGAGGAAGAGGAATACGAGCAAACTACGTCTATCAAAGGTCGCCTGCTGATGTTGGTGAACAAGATCAAAGGCCAGTCTCACAAAGCCGAGGAGCCCACAGAGAAGGAGCAAGCCGCACCATGTGAGGAAATCAATGTTTTTATTACTTCATAATATTAGCGATGCTGCCGAGTACCTGCTGTACCAGTGTACCTGTGGCTCTGGATTATAAATACATGTCGGATTGGTTGGAGGATGAAGACTAAAGCTTTTTCATGCACACATTGGCTCACATTTTTTACTTTCTCATAAAAGCACAAGCTCGCACACACGTCACCCCTTTACTCGCCACTACATTCTGCTTGTTTATGGTCTCTTTGCCTCCTTTTAGTACGAGCTCTCTGTCTGTGTTCTTTGCTTGGAGAGTGGTGAGAATTAAAAGCAGGAGCCCCTGTATCACAGCTCTAGCACCCTCAGTTTTGACTCTATTTGTCTGCCACTGTCATGTGGACTGAGTCACCGGGTGGCAGTCATTTCCATTTCAATTTCTTTTCAATTTCATTATGGTAATATAGAGCCGGGGCGAGGAAAGGCTCCAAAAGCTTCTTCTGTCAAGATGAGAGAGGAGCGATGAGAGGAAAAACGGTTGGTGATAAAACCAAATCCTTCACCTGATAAAACCCATAGACACACGAGTACAAACACACAATTGTGAGCACACACACCGGAACCAAAAATATTTCAATCACAGCACTTAATAACCAGGGGGCCACAGCAGTATAAATGCAGAACAAGTTGTATCTAATTTTCTATCTCAAGTACCACTCCGTGTAAGAGTGGTAAGAGGGCCACCAATCATGTAGCTGATTGCAAATATTACGTAACTGGTAAAAAATACATTCTGCTTTGTTTTGTTGGTCTTCAATATAGACTGCAGTGGGTTATTTTAACTGCTTGTCACTGTTTTTGAGTTTTGTTTATCCGCATATACATTGTCTCTCCTTTTATGGCATCCTTTTATACAAAGTAGTAATAACTAAAGTGAAACAGGGTATTCTATTACCTCTGAGAATCTGTCCGTCACCATTCCATCCCTGTCTATTCATCAGAGTGATGCCAGTAACAGGAAGTGGCCGAGAGGCAAATGGATGAATTTGAGATGAAAAATGTGATGCTGAAAGGCTATCTCTCCATTGGGATTTGGTGTGACCCTGACATGGAGCATATAAGACCACCCCACAGATCTCCAAGGAGCAAGGCTGGATGGAAATAGAGGCGCGTGTGTATTCCTCCTTGAAAGAGTGCTTTGGATGGTGGAGGTCTCTGCACAGGCTGTGTGCGGGATGATTGATTGGAAGGCTGGTTTGTGGTAGCAGCTGCTGTTCAGGAGTATCACATCTACTTTTGGTACAGCTGTAGGCGTCAATGCAAGGGAATGCAGTGGAAAAATTTACTATCTATGCAGGCAAATTCTTATCCGCTAAAAGTGTTTTGTCTTTGAATCATTATAGTATACATACTGCATGTTAATATTTAGTGTGCACAGACAGCATTGTTGGAGAGGTTTTAGTAGAAGTATCAAATTGGCCGTTTGGGTACCATTTGTGCCATTGGAAATTTTCTCAGGTAACTGTACAACTCATTTAATTTCATTTACACATCATTATAGGTATTAATTCCATATAAATACAACGGTATTACGATTGGCTATTACAATATAGAGGCTATTATATGCACTAACTGGTTTTCTCATTTTCTCAACCACTGCTGTTTTGCCTATATGCTACTGTGCTGCGGTCTGTGCCTTCATTTTGTACATTGATTCATGCTAAACCTAGCTGAAATAATAGGTGGATGAGCTATAGAAATGTTGGAGCCAACTGCAAAGGTTTGCTAATTTTTTTTGCGCGAACTGACCTCAGCCCTCTTACCTTTTTTTTTTTTTTTAGTGTTCCTACCAGACAAATAGTACTGGTGGTGCCCCTCCTCTCTTCAGTCCGTGTGATGGTGTGATGTGGTAACTGTGTACTTTCATATTGGTCGCTGTTGTTTGGTTTTGTTATGTTTAGTTGACGGCATACAAGTGATGGTGGCATTACCAGGCTGAAAGCCTACCTACCAAATATAGTATGTGAGAAGTGACTGGGACAGGGGATATCTTTTGAGAATAAAATCTTTTATAAGAAGAGGGTTTGCCAGGAGGCAGGAGGATGGACCAGAGTTGAGATGGCATGATACATTCTGTACTGTTACGCCAGCTATAACTTGTCCTCCTTGCAAAGTGAGAGCCTGAAGACACGAAAGGCGCTGTCGTCTTTGCTATTATTTCATGGGAATGAAGTAAGAGGGGCACAGAAGTCGTTTTCCTCCTCTGATGAATGGTTTATCCACCAGAAGCATTTAATGCTCGGACATGATGACTTGCCTTGAAGAAGTGAGAGAGCATAGGGATTGTGTGTGTGTGATCTCTCACACCATAAAAACCTCTTGACTTCCAGTTCCATCAGTGTAAGAGTAAACCGGACCGATTTGTTTGTTGGGGTGTAGTGAAGGGAAAATGCTGGAGGGGTGTAGTCCAGAGCAAAAGCGGCAGAGAAGGAAGGAGAGAGCGTTTTGGATAGTGTGACAGAATGAGCGTCAGGTGTTGGGAAGCATCTTGGCTGAGAGGAAGAAATGCCACTTCTCATTTTGGAGCAAGCTGGTGCTTCTGCCCCTTTCTCTCTGACACCCACGCTAATGTCTGCGGCAGGATCGGTTACCGCTGACAGTGACATTCTGCTGGCTCCCCCACACATCACTCAAAACACACATACACACACTTGCAGTGATTGACGGCCTTGTGTGAAATAGTCTTTGGACAACCAAACAGACACGGGGGTCTTAAAAACACAATCGCCTAATTGCAATACTTTTAAGCAATCAATTGTGTTTTTATTGGCTCCATCTTTTATGGTTCCAAGTTGTTTAATTGATGTCTTTCTGTCCTTTGTGTTTTCATACCCCGAGAACACCCTCACCCACTATTGATCAAGTTTTAATGAAGCCTTAAGGGTAACCCACATACGAGATGTCCAAACAAATGTCTCAGTTTAACCATAGAAGCAGAATACTGTACTGTACAGAACTATTAATACTTCCCTTATTCGAGAGATAACAGGGCTTCCTCTCCACTGAAAATGTGCCTTTTCATCAATGAACTTGCAAGCTGTGTTTCTCTTTCTGATAGATTTGAAGAAAATAACTAGCTGACATTGTTGAAACACAGCTGATTGCCTCTTCTTTAGAGGCTGCGGCTTGTAGAAGTGGCAGATTCATGCGTGTAGTTATATTAGCTTAGGTGCCGGTCTTTTTTTGTTCTGTGCTCAAGGTCTTATTTGCATCCTATGAATTTACTGCTCAAGCATGGCTTATACAAAATGGAGCATCCAGTCAAGTGGAGGACCGTTTAACATCATTCTAATAAAGCTCTGTGTTGAGTGTGTCTGTGTGTTTAAGGGAGAAGTGTCTTGGTGTGACCTCAATTAATTGAAGGAAGGTTATAGTATATTTTCCTCTTAAGTCCAATGACATACGGTAAGGATTAGAACACGATGCTGGAGGCACTTCACTGTCAAAACAAGTGTTTCTCTGCTATTTTAAAGGTTCATAATAAATAATTCTACAGTTACCCACACCCAACATTAAAGCTGCTGTAGTCAATATTGTCATGTCATTGAAATGACTGTGTACAATGTCAAAGGGCTCATTTGCATCGATAAACCTTCAGTTCTCCTCAGCTCTACTCAGCATCTTAGCATCTTTCAGCTCATTGTTTGGATTTTATTCACTGTCACTGCTCTCACAACCCAAACGGAGCTAAAAGGAGAGTCAATATTGGACTTTTGCTGAGTGACCTGAAACACGACATGAAATTAATTAATACTTGTGTTGCTCCATCTCTGCTGAATGTTTAAATATATTTAAACCTCTTGCTAACACATTCCCCACAACAACTTTATAAAGCCTTAAAATGTCACTAGTGTGTTTACAGCTAATTACGCTGCCACCAAGACAAATGTTGCTGCTTTAACCGTGTTAAATGATGTATTTTCATTCTCTAAGAGGACTATGACTTATGAAGTGACTGGTCCCTTGAGGAGTCTCACCTTTGGGTTAACTGCTGTTACATAATATAATGTTAAAGTGCCATTCAACTGATTTGGTTGATTGGCACTAGTTGCATTTCAAGTGCAAGATTCAGTGTGTTCGGACCAATAACAAGGCCGTCTCATTGTTTTTTACCATGCTTTACTTTTAAAAGTAACTTTTAAAAGTTTCTCTTGGAAGTCCACCAACTTTGTGAAATATGTTGTTTGTTCTGAGCAAATACATTAAAACGTTTTTTTTTAAAAAAAGGAAAGGATCAGTCATCTTTACCCAACTTTCTTTCCAGCTAATCTGAAGGAGCTGATTTCTCAGACAATGGTCAGCTGGGCCCAGGAGTGTCACATCCTGGACTCAGAGCTGGTCCGCAAGATGTTCAGCCTACTGAGGAGGCAGTATGACAGCATTGGGGAGCTTCTCCGGGCCATGAGGAAGACTTACACCATCAGTGCTGCCTCGATCCAGGACACCATCAACCTCCTGGCTGCCCTCGGTCAGATCAGGTCTTTGCTGTCGGTTCGTATGGGGAAAGAGGAGGAGAAGCTCATGATTGATGGACTTGGGTAGGTTGTGGTTGCCTCAACTCTATATTTGAGTTATCTGTTTTTAGTGAATCTTAAGTATGAATTATGTCTTTTTTCACCCTATCATGACAGTGACATCATGAACAACAAAGTCTTCTACCAGCACCCCAACCTAATGAGAATACTGGGCATGCATGAGACGGTCATGGAGGTCATGGTCAATGTGCTCGGAGGACACAAGTCCCAGGTTCAATGTCTATATCTATATCTATATATATTTCTCTCTGCTTCCACAGGCCGTTAAAGAGGCACCCACAGAGTTTAGTGCTCCACCTCGCAAATAGTGTGTTGCTCACTGAGAAAGTTTGTGTCTGAGTGTAGTTTTGTGTGTTATCATTTGTAAGCGCGTATTAATGAAGACGTGGTCCCAGTAGGTGGGCTTTCTGCTGATGGCATCAGAGTCTGGGATGGAGGGCAGAAAGGGCAGAGTGAGGTTGGCAGTGTGTGAAGGTGTCAGGCTTTTTAGATGTTAATTAGGATCCAAACCATGCGGGAGACTTTATAGTAACAAGCCGGGAGAAAGTCAATACAATAGAATAAAGCAACGACCTCTCCAAAACCACTTGGTATCAAATTACAGTGACAATTTAGCAATGTCTCGACAAGTTACTATATTTGTGTTCAGACTGTAAACACAGACTGTTGCTGCAGAAATATTGTGTCCTTGAGCTTTTTAATTTGGAATTTCAGTTCTCGTTTTAAAATCCAACCAGGGAAGATGTTTCACCTACTTAGTCTGCACGTGCCGTTCCACAGGAAATAGCCTTCCCCAAGATGGTGGCCAGCTGCTGTCGCTTCCTGTGCTACTTCTGCCGTATCAGCCGTCAGAACCAGAAAGCCATGTTTGACCACCTCAGCTACCTGCTGGAGAATAGCAGCGTGGGCCTAGGTGGGTACATCTTCCATCATCATGCTACTTAAGGATTAGCCAAATGATGCTGACATTATTTTACTGGATGAAGACCACATGACTTGATCGGGAATCATCCAACATGCACAGACTGTAGGACATGCTAGAGGACATTCTTAAAGAACAGGCCAAACACACCTGTAAAACCACTCCTAGGATGGATGAAAGATGCCAGCATTCTCATCAATATGGGTGATACATTGTCATCAGCCTTCTGCCATAATAGGACTTGTTCTGCGCCTGTGAGCTCACATATATTAGCCTCGCACCTTAGAAGACGTGTGTGTGAAGTTGAATCAGCGAAGAGAGCGACTCATCTCTCATTCTGTTAGAAGACGTCGGTGCCAAAGTCTCAGAGACCTCCGCACTGGGGTGAGAGAGTGTCTCCCCTGGCTGCACACACACATGCAGCCAGGCATGCTCATTAAAGAAGTTGCAACAAGTTATGTGACAGCAAAACAAAAATGAAATCTAAGAATAAAATCATACAAAAATCCCAATTAAAACATAGACGCTGCAAGCACAGCATTATAGACGAGGTGTTTGTATGCACCGTGCTACACAAACTGGTTCCCATAAACCCTGTGGAATCCAATATGAGTATACGTGTCCACAGCAAATTGGTGAGGAAACTTTCCTTCCACACTAATGTTAACCAGCTGTTAGAAGGAGTGAAAAACATCACCCCCTGCTGTTCGTTGAAATGAGAACACAGACACAGGCTTATATGAAGTACAATAGAATAAATAGTTGATTCTACCAGTGTGCTTTATATTGTAGCTTCACCAGCAATGAGGGGCTCCACTCCTCTAGATGTGGCTGCTTCCTCGGTGATGGACAACAACGGCCTGGCTCTGGCACTGGAGGAGCCGGATCTGGACAAGGTAAGACTCAATCTTTCTGATGCCGTAGTCTGTAAAAGGAGAGACACAATTTTAAATCACCCGGGATGAATAGATTAGAGCTGAATGAGTGTTGTATCTATATGAGATGTTATGTGGTATGCCCGTAGGTGGTCACCTACTTAGCAGGCTGTGGTCTCCAGAGTTGTCCAATTCTCCTGGCTAAAGGTTATCCAGACATCGGCTGGAACCCCATTGAGGGGGAGCGTTACCTTTCCTTCCTACGGTTTGCTGTCTTTGTCAACGGTAAGACTGCAGTTACCATCCGCTCTCTACTGTTTCTCTCTCTCTCTCTTTCTGTTACTGTATCTCTATCTAGACATGTAGTAAAAGCTAGCAAAGGCCCAACTAAGCTTGAGAGATCTTCATTCCGCTGCTTAAGGCGAAGTCTTCTAGGTGTTTTGTCCGAGTATTTGGGGGATAGGGGTGTTTATGTTAAAGCTACCGTGTGTTTATGTGCTGTATTTTCTTGCTGACATTAATAATGTATATTCTTTTATGTTTGTGTTCCAGGCGAGAGCGTAGAGGAGAACTCCAGTGTTGTGGTCAAGCTGCTCATCCGTCGTCCAGAGTGTTTTGGACCTGCCCTGAGGGGGGAGGGAGGGAACGGACTGCTGGCTGCCATGAAGGAAGCCATCAAGATCTCCGAGACGCCAGCCCTGGACCTGCCGGGCTCTGTGCATGGAGTCAGCTCTGACGTGTAAGCAAAACTAATCAAATATCGATACTGGGGACCCTTAGGATTAGCTGCTTATCCCCCTTTGCTTGCATCTTTGCTAAGAAATGTTCTTCTTCTGTGTCTGTTCTTCCTCAACTTCACTTTTTCCACTGTTAGGTCTGCTGATGGTGATGATGAGGAGGAGGTGGTACACATGGGCAATGCCATAATGTCCTTCTACTCTGCACTCATTGACCTGTTGGGACGTTGCGCTCCAGAGATGCATGTATGTTTGATATAAATTGTGAATTTATTTGTTGTTTTCCTTCGGGACAGATTTTCCATTTTTTTCACTTCCTTTTCCCTTCTTCAGCTCATCAACAAGGGGAAAGGTGAAGCTCTGCGTATTCGTGCCATCCTGCGCTCTCTGGTGCCTACTGAAGACCTTGTGGGAATTATCAGCATACCGCTCAAAATGCCCATCACCAACAAAGGTACTGGTCAGGATGTTCACTCTAACAACACAGGGCAGCATACAGCACATCTTTATACTTCCATTGGAGGACACATCCTATTCATTTGCATGCTGCTACACTATGTCTAGCTCATGTGAAGGTACAACGGTTTAAGAAAGTCATGCACATTCAGTGCAAGGCAGAAGGTTATTGATTACATTTCACTGCTCATGCCTTTTTAATCAGCACAACGCTTTACTGCACTCTCTCATAGGTCTGAGTAAGCCAGATCATTTCTATAGCGAGCTGTCTTGCACTATTGATTGATCTGCATAAGCATGGCGGGACTCGCCTCTTAAAGTTGCTGCCCGGAGCACAGCCACATAAGCTCTGTCAGCAGGCCAAGAGTGAAGACAGCGAGCCGTGGCTCCAGCTCCGGAAAATCTCTGATCGGCATGCCGCCTAATGAATACACAAGGCTTTCCTAATCGGAAAAGACTTTCCATTATGCACTGTGGCCTGTTTTCTGAGTGTTTCACTGCTTCACACCTGAGCAGTGTACTCTTCATGCTGTGCCCTCCTTTCCCTGTTCCAATCTCTCCCAGACGGGTCGGTGACTGAGCCGGACATGTCGGCCTGCTTCTGTCCAGATCACAAGTCCCCCATGGTGCTGTTTTTGGACAGGGTGTATGGTATCGAGGACCAGAGCTTTCTTCTTCAACTGCTCGAAGTGGGCTTCCTTCCTGACCTGAGGGCTGCTACCTCTCTGGATACGGTGGGTAAAGCTGACAACGCGGGAGAGAAGTAATGAATGTAACATGAACTTCCTCAAGGAGTTTAGAGATCAATAATATTGGGCAGCCTTTTATACTAATGAGGAGCTCCTCATTAAGCCTTGGCTCAAGTTTCTCTTTGGTTGATTAATGTAATTGTTCTTTACTCTTATTTATCAAGAACGCGTTTATGGTATTGTAGTGTGCCGTAGTGTGCAGACTTTTGGCTAAAATGAATCCATCACATAATATGCTGCTGTTTGTGGAGCGGTCCAATATATTTTGGAAGGTTATTTACAAGACAGTTTTATGGTGCTAATTTAAATGGTTCTCTTTGAAAATGGTTCTCAAATACAGACATTCATTTTCAAGCAAGACTATATAACAACTTCACAGTGGCCGCTGTGGAGTACAAGTAAAGAATAGTTATTAAGTTAGGTGCCTGACTGTAAAACAGCAATATCTATGTAAAGTTAGCTAACATGAGCCATCAGTCATACCAGACCAAGTAAGGCTGTAGCAGCAAAACCTCTAGCAACATAAAAATGTTATTTTTCTCAGGGGGAGAATGTGTTATTTCCTTTCTGAAATGACACAGTTTTACTTTAACAACTGAAGTAATCTCATGTTGTATGACCTGTGACCCGTTCTTTCCACAGGAGGGTCTATGTACCACAGAGACAGCCCTGGCCATGAACCGCTTCATCGGCTCAGCCATGCTACCCCTCCTCACTCGCTGTGCCCCTCTCTTTGCCGGCACCGAGCACTACGCCACCCTCATCGACTCCACTCTGCACACCATCTACCGCCTTTCCAAGGGCCGTTCACTCACCAAGGCCCAGAGAGACGCCATAGAGGAGTGTCTGCTGGCTGTCTGCAAGTGAGGATTATTAGAAAAGTGATACACCAAACATTCAGCCGGCCAGAATAGCAAAGATCAACAGTGCATTTTATCTGCTTTCTAGCAAAACTCTATTATAGCTAAGGGCCTTGCTTCCCTATTATCCCTCTAAATCTGTGTGATAAAAGTGGTTAGTCTGAAGATGTGATTGTGGTTAAAGGCAGCTCAGGGCAGCAGCACTCTTATCGCTCACCTTTTTCTGCAGGCACCTTCGTCCCTCCATGTTGCAGCAGCTCCTTCGCCGCCTCGTCTTTGATGTGCCCTTGCTGACCGAATACTGCAAGATGCCTCTCAGAGTGGGTTATGATTTTTAAATCCCTTTGCCATCTTCATATTTTGCCTCATCTCTTTTTGCTTGTTGGTCTGCTCGCATGACTCAGTTTTATTTGTTTCCTGTTTGCATAATCCTCTCTGTCTTTTCTTTTCTTTACCTTTCTACATGACCTGTGCTCTGCCTGTGGTCGCTGCTTGGTCACACTTTACTACTTCAGTTTATTAGATTGTCAGCTTGGTGGTGAAGTACCAAGAGCCAATTTCCACCAGCTCTATTGCAGGTGTACCTTTAATGTAATATTACTGGTGTAAACCTCTGTCTCTCAGAAACACACGCATACTCAAAGGTGAACATTTCCAACACACCAACCTGCTGTGGAAGAAGTGGGCAGCTGCAGGAGGGAAAACAAGGGGCTGAAGTATTGGACTATGTGATTACAGGCTTGTTCACTCCACTGCTCCACGCAATCAGTCTGGAACACACCAGAGGAATACTGAAGATGTGATGGGCTGTGACTAGCCTGTGAAAGGGTTTACACACTTGTTCTACCTTCATGTACATGTTTGGATTTAATTTGTGCTGATTTGTGGGAGAACTGATTTCCTTTGAGGTGCTACGCGCTATACATGCATGGCCCAGTGTGTTGTGAGCATATGTTTAGGCTGCTTACTTGTTAGTCCAAAAACCGGACTAACAGGCTGAGGAACAGCTTTTTCCCCAGAGCGATTTCCTCCATCACACCCCCACCCCCACCCACCACCCCATCCAGCTCACACCGGACAGTGCTGTGGTGACACAAAAATTAGCCAATAACACGACACTTTAACAAAGCACCTTTTTCACTTTAAAGCCATTGATGCCTTAGTTTTATCTTGTATATATTTATTTAATGTCTTGTTTTAAATCAGAAATGTCTTGTCTTAATGTTTTTATACATTTTTTACCTGTTGCTGCTGTACTGACTGATGACTCGCCAACTTCATTTCGTTGTATGTTTTAACAATGCCAATAAACATCCTTATCCTTATCCTTATATCATTGAAAACAGTTAAGCCTATAAGTTCTGCCTGTTTACTCTGTTCTCCAGCTGCTAACCAACCACTATGAGCAGAACTGGAAGTACTACTGCCTCCCATCGGGCTGGGGCAGCTACGGCACAGCATCGGAGGATGAACTACTGCTCACCAAGAAAATCTTCTGGGGAGTATTTGACTCTCTGTCCCAGAGGGTGAGACGTCACTCAAGTCCGTTGTCGTTTCAGGGTCATTTGCAATTTCATTGTGACTTCATTATGCTACATTAACGTCTGTTTGGCAAAGGGCTGACATCCACTTCTTGTTAAACATTTTGTAAGAGATTGTAATACCAGACATGCTCCACAAAAGTGATGAACCCTTAAATAAAAGTAACTTACTTCATCACAGTCGTAATTAACATGCATGTGTGCGAGCGACCCATTGGCACAAATATCTTGAGGTCTGTTTGTGATGCAGATGATCTGGACTCGGCACATCTCTCTAAATGCCCACTCAGGAAAGGAGGCTGTGCAAAGGGCCCGGCCTGAAAACATCAATATCTGGACAGTGATCATTGATCCAAAGCCTCTAGCACACTGGTTCTTCAGCTTTTAGAATAATTCTCTATTAGCGTCTCTTCTCCTGGTCCCACTGCACTGTTACACTTTCACTAAAGAGGCTGTATAGCTTTATTTAAGTCCCACCTTAAATGAACAATTTAACACATTACTTGTATTTGTGAAATAATAACATTTTCATAACTGTACCTAATCTTAAGAGCTATGTTTTGCATTTACTGTGAAGCTTCCTATTTCTCTCACCATGTAGAAATATGACGCAGAGCTTTTCAAGATGGCCATGCCTTGCCTCAGTGCCATAGCTGGAGCTTTGCCACCGGACTACGTGGACGCCTCAATTAGCACCACAGTGGAGAAGCCCGTTTCTGTAGATGCTCAGGGCAACTTTGACCCCAAACCCATGAGTACTGCTAAGTAAGGCGCGTCGGAGCCACACGTCAATAAGAATTATAGTATAAGCCTGACTTATCATATCATATACCTGTGATGACATGCACAGTCCATGACTGTCCATGGATTTGCATACACAAGCTGACTAATTGTCGCACACTTTTTTTCCCCCAGCATTGCTCTTCCAGAGAAGCTTGAGCACTTTGCCAACAAATACGGAGAGCACTCCCATGAGAAATGGTCTGCAGAGAAGGTAAGGCCAAAGATAAGAACTTTCATCTGGGAAAATGGGTATTAAATTATACAGTATTTGACTTGGAACAAGTCTTGAGTGTCAGAGGACGCTTAAAATGTCTGTCCTTTAGAAAATACTGCATTCAAAATCATCAGAAAAGCGGCCATATCCATGTGAAATACTTTAGCTCAATATTTTGATTGTTCTGTTCTTTTCCAATATCGCAGCATTGTTTCCTTCGGGGACGTCTCCTTTCTTAGTGTTGAAAGAGATCTTTTGCGAATGCTGACAATATTTATGCTAGTCTATGTGTAGAGGGCCTTTGCTCTCTTTTGTGAGAACTGCTTAGCTTGCATTGTTGCATCTATCAAAAAAAAATGAACAAGAACTGAGGACAGCAAGAACTGAATGTACCATGACTCCTTAATGTGTTGTGCATACTTAATCTCTTACCCAGCCTTTCAAACAATAAATCATGTCCTTCAGAGACTGTGAAGGCAATGCAGATTGCTCACCCTTGTACATACATCCCTCTGTGCGTGTGCCTCAGGTACTGTTGGGATGGAAATATGGAGACGGTGTGGATGAGAAGGCCAAGATTCACCCTCAGCTCAGAATCTACAAAGGCCTGACAGAGAAGGTAGGAAGAATGTGAGATTTGTGAAGAATAGTACCATTAAAGAGATAACCTAAAGGCTTCTAGGCTTTGTCCTTGTTCCCCATTTCTATCTTTGTGCTTCAGGAGAAAGAGATTTACAGATGGCCAATTAGAGAGTCCCTGAAGAGCATGCTGGCAATGGGCTGGACCATCGACAGGACCAAGGATGGAGAAAGCATGTCTCTACAGAGGGAGAATGAGAAAATGCGAAAGATCTCTCAGGCTTCACAGGTACACGGCAACGAATGACGACACAAACGCTAACATCAAATGTGTTTGTCCTCCAAGAAGAATTAGTTTCAAGCATTTATCCAAAACCATTAGCTAACTTATAACCGTTTTTTCCTAACGTGTTGCTAACTATATACATTTTTTTTTTAACCATTACTTCTGGCCAACATTTTCAACAGTTTATTTCTTGTATTTTTAGCTAACGTTAACTAGTAAATTCATTTATCCATTACTTTTAGCTTAGTATTTTTATCGTTAATCCATTGCTGTGATTGGTTCTTTTAGCTAACTGTTCAATCTGTTTATTTCTTACTTTTAGCTAACTATTACGACTGTTTTGTCTCATTGTAAATCTTCATCTTTTTGAACATTTCCAGGCAAATGGCTTCAATCCGAGCCCGATAGACATGAGCAACGTGGTTTTATCCAGAGAATTGCAGGTGAGTGACCTCACATTTGTATTTTTTTTCATCAAGCGATCTCTCAGTCTGAATACAAGATGAAAAGCAATAATTCTTGAATGTGAATGAGTTAGATGGGCGGGACATGCTCCTCTGTGAGATCTGCTAATTGTATCTTTTGTCTTTGGTCCAAGGGGATGGTGGAGGTGGTGGCTGACAATTATCATAACATCTGGGCCAAGAAGAAAAAGAGTGACCTTGGAAGCAGAGGTGATATGCTTATGGATTCAATCATAGACGAGACACAGTGAAACCTGCAAAACAGCGAAGAAGAGACCATATACGTATGCCTGTGTGGGTGGATGTGAGGTGCCACTTGCTCGTTGCCTGTGGGCATATGTATACCTCGCCGCCGGTCTTGACTAAATAGGTTCAGCTGAGTGATACATCTACTTCATGTCACCATCTGCCTTCACGCAAATGCACAATTGAGAGCCATAGCTGATCAAGTCTTGCATAACACCAGGTTGTCTGCGGTTTCAGGAGGGGGAACACACCCTCTGTTGGTGCCCTTTGACACGCTGACAGCCAAAGAGAAGGCCCGTGACCGGGAGAAGGCACAGGACCTTTTCCGCTTCCTGCAGATCAATGGCTACAGCATCACAAGGTCAACAATTTCAGGATGTCTGTTATATATTATCATGTTGATGGAGGGTTACACGACTTCATAACTTCTCAAGTGTTGATTTCTCAAGTGTTGGTTTTGCAGAGGTTTAAAGGACTTGGAGCAGGATTCCTCTTCCATGGAGAAGAGGTTCGCTTACAAGTTCCTCAAGAAGCTGCTCAAGTATGTCGACTCAGCTCAGGAGTTCATTGCTCACTTGGGTATGTATGGTAATATTACATAGCACCTGACTGCAAGAGACTTGTTAATGTAGTCTTGTTACTTACTATTAAATATGTATTTATGCTCTCAATCCAGAGGCCATGGCTGCCAGTGGCAAAACAGACCGGTCCCCTCATGAACAAGAAATCAAGTTTTTTGCCAAAGTAAGGATGTGATATATATATATATAGCTGCTGTACATATTTAGATAACCCTTTTGGAATTAAGTTTCCATTAACCCGATCTTGTCATTATCGATGTCCTCCTTCAGGTTCTCCTTCCTCTCATCGACCAGTACTTCAAGAACCACTCTCTCTACTTCCTCTCCTCCCCCAGTAAGAACCTGAGCAGCAGCGGTTACGCCTCCAACAAGGAGAAGGAAATGGTCACCAGGTACAAAATTAAGACAGTTACTTTCATTCACCTACAGCTATATAGCATGACAATAACCCTTTGCCATTCTTTTCTCAAAATCCTAAACTCTTGTAATCTTATTGACTAATCTTCTCTCTAAGAATCTACTCCTTGTAACTGTCTGATTTCTTTCCTTGTCTATCCATCACACCTCCAGCCTGTTTTGTAAACTGGCAGCTCTTGTCAGACATAGGATTTCTCTCTTTGGTAAGCTGATTACTACTGACAGCAGCGTGTGTGTGTTTCGTAAAAGTGAATGCTTGTCGTTCCATCGAGTCTTAAGTTGGTTTGTTTTCGGTTGTGTCTTGTCTGAAGGATTTTAACTATGGTGTAAAAATATAGCTTTGACTGCACCACAAACCTAAAACCTTGTGGTCAACATTGTTAGCTACAAAATACATAAGCATTTATCTGTAAAATCACCCTTTTATAAACTATTTTAAACAAACAAGGCATGTTAATTAGTGATCTTTAAAGATGCTGATAGGATGATTTTCTTACCCTTTAGGCAGAGCCAAGCTAGCTGTTGCCCCTAGTTTTCAGTCTTTATGTAATGCTAATCTAACCGACTGGTGACTGTAGCTTCATTCTTATCGTGCAGACACACAAGAGTGGCACCATTCCTCTCCTCTAACTCTTGACAAGAAAGCAAATGTGCATATTTCCCAAAATGTTAAACTATTCCTTTAAGTAACGGCAACTAAAAGGTCAAAAAACTCAATTCAATACTTCTCGCCCCTTAACCAGAGGTGGTGATCTAGATATTGATCCACTAACCTTACATCTATAATTTAACTGAACTCTTAACCCACCATATGATTGGAGGTTGTTGAGGTGTGCTACACACACAGACATGAACTCATTGCTGCAATGAAAGGCTCAGTTCAGGTCAAGAAAGTCCCTTAAACATGGATGACTGTGTGTGTGTGTGTGTGTGTGTGTGTGTGTGTGTTCATGTCATATTGAAGTCTTATGTGTTGTCTTGTAGGGAGCGACTCCACTACCATCGTCAGCTGTCTGCATATCCTGGCACACACCCTGGACACCAGGTGAGCTCTCAAGACTCACAGGGACCCTGGTAGATTTGAGTTTTTCTCCTTTCAGAAACAAATCACATTTTTCCAGTGTAATGCAATTATGTAGAATCTAACCCCTGTAGAACCCTTGTGAGGAGCATATTTGCATAAAAATTTTATTTTTTAACAGTTATTACTGCGGTGTCTTGTGGGATGCGCTGGCATTAACAAAGAGCGTCCTCTGGCATTTAAATAAGCAAGACAAATTTCATACGGCACATGTTGCCCAAGGCGTATAGTGTTCTTTGGAGACAATGTACTGTTTGTTAATGCAGCTCACACATAACGAGGCTAAATGGGAAATGTATTATTGTCTCAAGAGCTACAGCTGATGCCCACAGACTGTCTTTTAGTTCTCCTTCCTAGTGAGACACGTCAAGGCTTAACAAAGGGTAATTCATTTGGCAATATTATGAACTGTGAAATACCTGGAAATGGCCCGACGAATCATATTAATGAGTTTTGCTTTTTTTCATACAGTATGCCAACAACATTGGCAAACTCACCTTGGATTTAAATATTCACCTAATTCATTAAATATATCATTGATGTTTCAGTGTGAGGGCGGTCAGGTTGATACTCACGTCTCATATTTCATGACTAGAACCTTCACAGTATGCGAGAGTTAAGAAATTGCGCATGTGACCGTGTCCGACAGTGGATAAACAGCATTGTCCTTTGCATACCAAGGGGTAGCCCGTGGTTTATTATAGCGCTGCCCTTGCACATCTCCTCATGTGGTCTCAGTCGTTTATCACTCTCCCTTTACCTCCAACAGGACGGTGATGAAGTCGGGCTCGGAGCTGGTGAGGGTGGGGCTGAGGACGTTCTTTGAGAACGCTGCAGAGGACTTGGAGAAGACGTTCGAGAACCTGAAGCTGGGGAAGTTCACTCACTCCCGCTCCCAGATGAAAGGGGTGTCGCAAAATATCAACTACACCACCGTAGCTCTGCTCCCCATTTTAACCGCTTTGTTTGAACACATCACTCAACACCACTTTGGAGTCGACCTGCTTTGTGAGTCCCGACAGCAGAGGAATGATCAAACATATTGTGCAAGAGGCTGCTTAAGAATTTGATTCAAATGTCAATGTTGCGTTTATTGTAACGCAGTGATTACATGCTGCTTTTACCTGACACCACGGAACACATCTGTCGCTTAACATAATGATTTTCTTTATTCCAGTGGATGATGTCCAAGTGTCTTGCTATCGAATCCTGACCAGTCTCTACGCACTGGGTACTGGCAAAAACATCTATGTAGAAAGGTATCTCCTCTTCAACATTCTGTAAAGTAATTAAAGCCTGAGTGAAGAAACTGGTTTTCGGTGCGGCTTTCAACCAACTCTCATCCTCTCTGTGTCCCTCAGACAGCTGCCAGCTCTCGGTCAGTGTCTGGCCACCCTGGCTGGAGCCATGCCTGTGGCCTTCCTGGAGCCGCTACTCAACACATACAACCCCTGCTCCGTCTTTAATACCAAGAGTGCCAGAGAACGTGCAAGTGAGTCATTTGTAATAATTCTAAGATAAAAAGTTGGACCAAGGTGGCAATTAAACAGATATTATTATGGATGGTAAAAATTTTACAACCATCTCATCATTTTTAGATGTTGTCCGTATCTTACAGTATGAGAAAAGACTGTACTGAATGTATGTTTTGCCCTAAATGTAATCATACATTTTTTACATTATGTGTATATCTGTACTTTAATAATAGTTGGTTATTAAATATACCTTCCCTTCTTAACCTATACAATGTAAACGTTGATGTAATCGTTTTTAGTCCTAGGCATACCAGACTCAGTAGAGGAGATGTGTCCCGGGATGCCGCGGCTTGACGGTCTGATGAAGGACATCAATGACATGGCCGAGTCTGGAGCGCGTTACACAGAGATGCCTCACGTTATCGAGGTGGTGCTGCCCATGCTGTGTAACTATCTGTCCTACTGGTGGGAGAGGGGGCCTGAGAACCAGCCAGCCAGCGGGGGCAGCGTCTGCTGCACCACCGTCACGTCAGAAAACCTCAGCCTCATTCTTGGCAACATCCTCAAGATCCTCAACAACAACTTGGGCATCGATGAGGCCTCCTGGATGAAGAGGATTGCAGGTGGGCATGGTTTTCTTTCATACGTGTCATTTTTGTTCAATGACATAAATGTTGTCGTGGCATCATCTCTTAGTTGGCTCATGTTAACTACCCTGTTAGGAAATGTATCATGCGTAAAAGCTTTCACGGATGAATTGCTAATTTTGTATACTACAACATTCTGATATACATAAACACTAACTGTAATAAAGTGATATTTTCTCTCTCTTGCACTGTTTAGTTTATGTGCAACCCATCATCAGCAAGGCCCGTGCAGACCTGCTGAAGAGCCACTTCCTTCCTACACTCGAGAAGCTGAAGAAGAAGACGGTGAAGGTGGTGTCTGAGGAAGAACTGTTGAAGGCAGACAGTAAGGGAGACACCCAGGAGGCAGAGCTGCTCATCCTGGACGAGTTTGCCGTACTCTGCAGGGACCTGTACGCCTTCTACCCCATGCTTATCCGCTATGTGGACAACAACAGGTTAGCTCACTGAGCAGTGAAAGATGGAGTTGTTTTAAGACGTTAGTGGATGCAGAAGAAATACAGAGGATGTATTAATCTCGCCGATTTACCGCAGGTCAAGATGGCTAAAAGAACCAGACGGTGACTCCAATGAGCTCTTTAGAATGGTCGCTGAGATATTTATCCTCTGGTGCAAGTCACACGTACGTTTTCTCATCTCTATACATGTTCAGCTACAAGACAACAGGCATCCTTCTTTAATTTGAACACATATCGTTCTTTGATATTTGTCTTTCACCAGAATTTCAAAAGAGAAGAGCAGAACTTTGTGGTCCAGAATGAAATTAACAACCTTTCCTTCTTGACTGGAGACAACAAAACCAAGATGTCTAAGGTAGGCTTTTTATGCCTCTCAACAATGTCACCTTTATGTCCTTGCTCTGGCAGCAGATTAAAACCCTTTTGGTCATGTGTAATGGCACTATGACCCGTTGAGCATGTGTGTGAAAGCTGAAAAAGTTCCATAAATAAGCAGGATTAATAGAATGAGCAAGATACATGTTAACATTTTCTCCGCCATGTTAACGTCACCACTTTTGTGTTGACGTTAACATGGAAAATGCCCGAAACAATCTCTGAGAAATTATGAGTGAACGCACACACATGTGACAAACAAAACCTGCATCAAACTTGTGAATGAAAATCGATAATCTCTTTGCTAATAACATGACAATAATGAAATGAACTTTGACTTATGACAGTGTGTGTGCGTGTATGAATTTTCTGCATGCATGCTCGTTACAGCAGATGCCAGAAAACTAACATTCATGCCTTGATCCCTTGTCAGTGTTACAGAGGTTGGAACATTTCATTTCTTGTCTGCCTGGTTTCGCTGTCTAAAGGCAAACAGATGGTTTCCATTGCAGTGCACGTCCATATGAGGACTGCGTGCCTCCATTAATTACCCTCTCATCTGCCTTTCTCTTTCTGTCTCTCCCTCTATCTCAAACAGTCCTTTAAGGAGAAGGTAGAGTGATGCAGTGCATGTGCCGTTTACCTGCCAGCTTATTGGCTTATATGCTCCCGTCGTTAAGCAGAAAAAGCCAATAGCTTGTGCCGCTGTGCTATATAGTCTATAGAGTAGTTACATAGTATGTCATCTGATTATTTGTGGCCACCATTCATGTGTTACATGGTAACTTTGATCATTCCTCATTGCTTTATGGGCGGAACACGAACTCATCAGGAGTAATGAAGCCCAGCCCTTCTGTAGCAAATCATGTGATCATATGCCACTTGGTGTGTTTGCAGTTGATGGATTGTGTTGCCCCTGGTGTGTTTGGCCAACAGTTACCTCATGCTATTTATATGATGTTGTATTCGCTGTGTGATAAGGTCGTGTGTGTGTGTGTCAGTATGTATATGTGTATATATTAATATGGAAATTTGTGTTTTCACAGAGCCAGCTGCTTCAATTTGGCTCAAAAGTGCAATTTTCCTTCATTGGTAACATCTTGCTGTTCTAACAGCATCAGTCTGCTAGTTCTGCTTTTCAACTGAGGTGTGAAACTTCTTAATGCTTCAGTGGCACAGATTCAGTCCGGTCACAGATTTTGCTAGGCCTGAAAAATAAATGCCTCAGTTGCCTTTTGATCTAATACAGTGGGAGGGCATCCCGTGTAAAATAAGCTCCAATAAAATAGTGTTGATCTATCAGTTTAAATGTTGAGAGAAAGTGCTTTAGTGCAACCCAGCAAAAGTGGGAAAACGATATTCATTACCTAAAAAGACCAGCTCATTAAGCCGCCATAACTTGGCGGCTTAACCCATTCTTTTCAGTCTGGAGGACAAGACCAGGAGAGGAAACACAAGAAAAGGCGTGGTGAGCTCTACTCTATCCAGACATCGCTCATTGTTGCCGCTCTAAAGAAGATGCTGCCGATCGGGCTCAACATGTGTACACCAGGAGACCAGGAGCTCATCTCTCTAGCCAAGACTCGCTACCTCCTGGTGAGACAACACATTTGATACGGGTCTTATGAGATCACATCCTTAAGTAAAGATCCATCCTTGCATTCAACCAAGAAGACTTCATTGAAACGGCTACATTTTACAATAATAAAGCTTCCTTTTCCTGCTATTGTTTAATAGAGAGACACAGACGAAGAGGTCAAAGATCATATTCGGCAGAATCTGCACCTTCGAGAAAAGGTGAGCATAAGATCTCAATATCACGAGTGGTTATTAGGTTCCAATGACTAATATTGTTTCTCACATCCTTCTTTGTGTCCCGATCTCAGTCAGAGGACCCTGCAGTGAGGTGGCAGCTAAATCTGTACAAGGACATAGCGATGATAAGTGAGGGGCCTCCAGACCCTGAGAGGGTGGTGGACCGTATCCAGAGGATCTCTGCTGCTGTCTTCAACCTGGAGCAGGTCGGACTTCAACATTAGTGCATAACCAAACATATTGAGCATATAGAGCTGTAAATGACGCTCGGGGTGCTTGTTTCATTAAACCATTGTGAAGGTGTAGGGTCAACAATCATACAGCTAATGTCACATTAAATAAGCTGCCAAGGACCGATGATTTACAATGTGAGAAGGGAATCCCCAAGTCAGTCCTGGACGTCTTAGTAGGATACAGTCACCTCCACACTTACCTCTCCATTCATCATAGCGCATAATGAAAGCTCTGGTTATTCACAGCCTTGTGTGTACAGTAGATTGTTGAATCAAAACATTGAACCTAATCTTTTCCTCCTCCTTGTGGCCTTTGCTTGGGACAGCCACAACAAAGCATAGAATCAACTGTGTGTTGCTCCCTGTGCTTTTTACTTGGTTTCACATGGGTGACAACAAAACACAAATTGCAGTAATGCTTGAAAGAAAAAGTACCTTAGGCCGCTTTTGAGTCTCCCTCTACTACGCTCCTCTTTTCAGGCTCACAATGAGCTACCAAAGAAATACTAGCGCTGAGGAAAAACCTGATGAAAATGCCAGTTCTGGTAGAGAATGCCATTCCAGTGTTTATTAATCATCTTAACACTGACTTCTTCTACTCCCATTAGGTGGAGCAGCCATTGAGATCCAAGAAATGTGTATGGCAGAAGTTGCTGTCCAAGCAGAGGAAGCGAGCGGTTGTCGCCTGCTTCCGCATGGCTCCACTTTATAATCTGCCAAGGTATGACTGCATACATTACACCGACAGTCTCTACATCTCTGCTGGATGTTTTTAGCCCGAAAACCATATCAAACAGCCTTATGATCTTGAATCCAACATGACACTCCACATTCAAAGGTAGTAGAGAGCTGCTTGTGGTACTACTTTTTTTTTTTTTTTTTTCAATTGTCTACCAATTGTTATAACACCACCTCTATCTTTGCTGGCCAAACACATTTTGTTCTTCTTCGGCCTGACTCACAACCCTCATTTTTCCCTGTTCTTGGGTTCTGACCCTGCATTAATTCACAACCTCCCTCCCTCTGTTTGTAGGACAAATGTCTAGCCCGCAGCTGTTATCAAGGAATAGAAAAAAAGGAACACTGGCAATTTCATGCCCTGCTGCTCTGTAACTCAATCACAGTAAGTCAGACAGAGAGCTACAGTAGGGAGGAAAACAATTATGAGGCACAACCTGGGGGTGGCCATCTTCAATATGTGCTGAGACGATGCTGCCCGCCTGCCTGACAGCATGACTCATTTATTCAGAGTTGTTGACAGTGAAATATGACACGGCATAGCTACTAATTATGAGACAGTATTTACAATGCAGCAACAATTGATTGTTTTTGTTTGGGTTAATAGATTTGTGAGTTTGAGGGCTGGATGTGAAGCTTCTGGATAATGCCAAAGCTTCACGAATTCAGATGTCAACTTTTCTCTTTTGTCTTCTCTATTCAGCCTTTGTTCTCTCCTCAATGTCACACTTTATTGTACCTCATCCCCTCAGGCACACAAATAATAATTACTTCCTGAAAGCCTTCCGACATATTTGGCTGGAGATAATGCATGAGAACACAGACTATGACGGTCTGCTCGCCGTGCTGACGGTAACGTAGCACTGTTCCTTTGTTGCTACTCTACTACCTTGCATACCTTTCTTAACTGTCCCTTGCTTTTCCTTCCAGCACGGTTTATGCTACAAATGTAATTCCCATTCAAATATTCCCGCTGGTAGACCCAACCCTTAAATGTCAACCTATTCCTATCTGCAGATGTGCAGATACATGGGTTCTTAATATAATCGAAATTCAGATCAATTCATTAATCTAGGCTAGAATTGCAATTTCTGCCCGCTGATGAAGAAAACAAAGAATTGTGAATAGATCAGCAGTCTGGCAGTGAGCATGAATGTCACATTTCTGTATTTATAAGCAACATGACAGTTTCCTCCAAGGTGACCAGTTGGATGTGCCAGTGCCCTAAACTAACCAGCATTAACCTCTCCTAAAGGGTCTTCTCCCCTCCTCTGCTCTGCTGTTATATAACTCAGACTAATCTCCTCTCACCCTTCCCCAGGCATCGCTCTATTAACCTCTTCCTCCTGGCCTATCAGAGAATATGGATAGAAACAGAGGAGTACTCTTTTGAGGAGAAGCTAGTGCAGGATCTTGCTGTAAGTACTCGTGTCATCGTTTAAGTGCCCCAATTCCAACACGAATCACTGGGTCGCACTCAGTCATCCATACGTGTTTTTCAGCCAGCCCCCCCATTTTTGGCAAGCATGATATCACCGCTGATGTCAGAGCCAGCTGATGTATTGTCGACCACCTTGTCCCACCCATTGTCGGTAAGAGGGCATCCCGCCTCGATGCTTCGACTTACCACTGAAATTTCTGAAAGTTGTGGTTTCTTTCTTAAATTTGAACTATCATAAAACATCACAATCATGCAGTGAATTTGTAGAGAAAGCAGAAGAAAAACGGCACGTAGCTGGTTTCTTTACAACTTCACAAAAGTGCCTCAAATAGTTCTACACCTTGTGGCCCATGATAAACCTACAGTGTGATATGCTTAAAGGGTTTATTAAGGAGTTAAATTAAATCAGTTTTCTCAAATAAGAGACAATCATAAAAGCACGCTGGTACTCAACATACCCTACTGTGACAATGGGTGTCTAGACTTTCAAAAGTCATAATTCAAATTTTCTATTGTCATTTCATTATTGAAAAAGAAAATTTCCACATTATATTAAATGAAAGCCACAGGGCATCACATAAGAAGTTAGGGGTGTGACAGATGAAGAACTTTATGATCCAGCCAGCCAAGCTCACACATTAGCGGCAACTTAAGAGAAAAATAGTTCTGATGAGTCTGCTATCATGATCGGTCTCTGCTCTGATGTAAATCGGTAAGAAGTTTATCAAAGTGCAAACTGGGATCATGGAGAGTCATGCTTAACTCTATTTTTCACCTTTTTAATACTGCTAAACATCCGCTGTGTTTGTGTGTGTGTGTGCATGCTTGTTGTTTACTGTCTGCATGCTGTCAGTCTATCTCATCACTGTTCTTTTCTGACAAAACCTGATTCTCTTCAGGTAAGTGCTGTAGAGTTAAGTAACAGATAAATGTTCCGATACATTATCATACAAAGTACGTATTTAGAGCCCATATAGTTGATATTAAGACTACGTGCCTGTGCTCCAGTATTTACTTGCATGGGTTTGTCCAGAAAACGCAGCCCAAAGTGGAGGAAGAGGAAGAGGAGGAGGTCAGAAAGCAGCCAGACCCTCTTCACCAGCTCATTCTGCATTTCAGCCACAACGCTCTCACAGAGTGCAGGTGAATACTCACTCATGGTTGCACACCTGGCACCAACACGCTTTGCTCAATCTGTGCTACATAATGGTTTTGGCCTGCCTGTTAGCTAATGAAGAGCTGCATCAAGTCTAATCATCTGTGTTTATTTTGTACTGGGACAGACGCACAGGCAGTTTTTAGTATTTCTCTGTTGTCTTGCTGCTTACTGTACAAACATTGAAGTGGCTTGACCGTGACGTCACCCATTGGTCTGTGGACTGCTGTTTTGAAGCCTCAAGTTTGGTAGTTTGGCCAAAGTACATTGTGCTGATAATGCCTCTCTTTCATTCTTCACTTGAAGTAAACATTTGAATGTAGGACTTTAACTGTTTTTACTACTTCTACCACTGCTACTCCCATCTCCCCATTTACAGCCAGGTCGAAAAGCAAGTTAGCGTTTGCCTGCCGCCCCCAATTCACTCAATCTGTCCCTGAAAAACACACCCGGGTCGGAGGTCACTCGCGATCAGAAACATCGGTAAAATAAACTTGGCAGAGAGCATTTCCAAATAGGCGTATTAGCCGCTTGTTTTGACAAAACTGCCACGGTCATAAAGTAGAGCATGGACTTAATTAGCGGAAGTAATTTGCTGGCGGTAACGATGTTAAGTGAGAATAAAGTCATACATTTGGGGAAATACAGCCTTACTCGCAAGGGAAGAACACAAACAAGTTGTGGCTTACTCACGGTCACACCGGTGAAACACAATCTGGTTTTAATTCTGCTTACATTTGGCTATCCACTCGTGTTGACTCCAGGGAAGTGAAGAAGATTTTGATTTGTAAAGAGAACTGTAGTCATTGAGCCGCGTACTGTGGACAACTTTGCTCCGCCTGCAGAGCCTTGAAGCTCCGCCCCGCTGCTACACAGGGCGCTGTTTGCTTGTTTCATAGTTCATTAATATTGAATGTGTCTTGTGTCCAATTGTTCAGAAGAACATATCGACAGAAAGGGATTCCTTACTTTATAGTTCGGCGAAATGTGATTGTGTGTTACTAAAGGTATAACCACCAGATATTTATCTTCCTTTTTTTTGTTAGTTCTTTGGAAGAGGATCCCTTGTATATTGCATATGCAGATATGATGGCAAAGGTACTTCATTCTCTAAATTACTTTTCCTGAAATGCAAGCTGTTCAGCAAAATTCCGCAGGTTTGACATTCTGCTTCCTTTTTCAGAGTTGTGATGAAGGTGAAGAAGAAGAAGAGGAAGAAAAAGACAAAACATTTGAGGTGCTATTGATTTCTCAGGAAGACAGTTCTGTATTTCATCTTTGTTTATGAATCATATTCACAAGTGGTGCTCACTGTATTACGTCCTACAGGAAAAGGAAATGGAGAAGCAAAAGATGCTGTACCAGCAAGCCCGACTACATGATCGAGGAGCTGCCGAGATGGTGCTTCAGATGATCAGTGCCAGCAAAGGTGGGAAGAGACACATTTCCCTCTCTGTCTTCTTATGACTTCCACCTTTGGTATCGCCAATGTATGATATATGCTTTGTGGTCATCAGGTCGACTTGGTGCTATGGTGACTTTCACCCTCAAACTAGGCATCTCCGTCCTCAACGGTGGAAACATACTGGTGCAGCAGGTACACGTCTATCGGCATGCACAATGTAAACATTCTTAATGTGCCCTTTTGTATTTCTTGTTGTAATGTTTGTTAACGCTGTAGCTGACAGGAAGTAGAATTGGACCAGAAATATTGCCTCAGCAACAGAATGGCAATGAAAAGGTCTATAGCTCGTAGCATCTTTAGCATCACACTTTGTTGTGCTTTTATCTTGATACAGAAAATGCTGGACTACCTGAAGGAAAAAAGAGATGTTGGCTTTTTTAAAAGTTTGTCTGGACTGATGATGTCTTGCAGGTAATAAAGCAACAACCAACTATCACACACAAAACACCTGATTTACTTTCTGTTGTGTTTCTCAGCTGCAGTTTAAAGGAGAACTCCACCAATTATACACTAAGGGTCAGTTTACTTGTCACAGGGAGTATTCCCCTGTGAAAACAGTTGTGTAATGTCGTCCGGTGGAGCTTTGTCAAGTCTGAGAAAATAACCCTGATGATGTCATCTAGGTCATCGGAGCTTGAGCTTGAGCTTGGATACTAATATTGTATAACAGAAGGCCTCATTTACAGACTGGGGCTGTTGAAAGATATGGGTGTTCACCCAAGGCTTAAATGTAAATATGCTGTTGGTTGAATCACGGGACGTGTAGAGTCCAGTGTTTTGACCTATATTGGGGATTAAAACTCAGGATAATGACCATTTTTTTGACATTGTATTTTGAACTGTCCATTATGAATTTACTAACTTCATGGAGTACCCCTTTTAAAATGCATATTGTAGAAATACAGAATTTAGAAATTGTATGTGTCATAGGTATATATTTTATCTCTTATAGTGTCCTGGACTTAAATGCATTTGAAAGGCAAAATAAAGCTGAAGGTCTGGGGATGGTTACTGAAGAAGGATCAAGTAAGTGAGGAATACTATACGTGGTAAACTTCTCTGAGACTGAGAACTTTATAAACTGACAATGAAACGGAGGTTTTGGAATTTCTAGATTTATTTGTGCAGCAGACTGACCTTTTCCTGCCACTCGGTGTTACAGATGTGGCCGAGACCACAGCGCAAGCTATAAGAGATGTTACATGTAGAAATCGTATTAAAGTGGCATTAGGTGTCTCTTTCTGGCTCATGGAGTCAATGTCCTTTTAGTCAGGCTTGTAATCAGCTGCAAGACGAATGACGGAGCATTAGCTTGACGAAACAGCTGCTCTTTAGTTTGCTGTTTGTGCGAGCGAGCCCATCTTCATGTCACGTGTGTCACTCGTGTGTCATGTTGTATGTCATCATCATGCAGGTAAACCTGTGCTACTGTATGTCCAAGTCCTGTCTGGGCCTCAAAAGCACTCAGTCACAAGTACAGCCACATGAAAATCCACATTTAATCAGAGGTCTAATTGATCTGATGGGTTGCATACAGTATAGAAATATGTTTTTCTCATGCATATTCCAGCTCATTTTCACCTCATGAGCTCAGGCATAAGTGATGGTTAACTGTTAAGTCTGTCTAGCCTGTAGTCCAAACACCTGCCTAGCGGCAACCTGTACTTTTAAGTCTTTGTTTAATCATAACCGCATGTCAATGTCTCCAATCAATGTGAGTATGTTAAGATGTATCTATAGTGCTGTCACTCTCTCCTGTTCCTACTTCTTCTGATTGAATATCAATGTCTTCTCCTTTGCTTATGTCTGCTTTTGTTTTGTTTGTTTTCTTCTGATCATGTTTTTTATCTCATCGGTCGCAGTCAACGTGAGTGAGCGGGGTAAATACATGGTTTAGATTCTACTCATTCTATGCAATGCTGACATCTTGATTGCTCTCCATTCAACTCCCTTTCCTCATTCCCCTCCAATCCTTCTCTACCCCCGTTCCTCCTTCTCCCTTGTCCTGAATGCAATTACAGCCACTTTCTTTGTACCTTGGACCGAAGGAACGCATGCATGCTTCTATGACATTCGGATAGATTGTTCAGTCTATGGTCAGGCGCCCAAAACTGATTCAAATCTCTCCACTTCTTCTTTTGCAAGAAGTCAGTGCTTGTCATCTATGTGGGACCTTTTATTTTTTAAATTCATTTTGATGATACTAACCAGCGTGTAATAAGAAATAAATCTCCCAAAGCTTTGTTTGTAAGAAACAACAACACTTTGCTGGTGTTTAACAACAAAGCCCAGTTTTATTCCTATTCTAAACCTTGTTTTAATTTGTGAAATGATGCACTATACGTCGTCTGAACCTCAAATATAGTGCACATAATTTGATGTTGCTAGATAGCAGCTTTATAAGGAAGTGAAAGCTGTGCCTGCACTGGTATTAAAATGATGGGTCTCTGACCTTCTTATCACTGAAAGAGGCAGTTAATCTCATTTCCTGTCCTCAGGTTCCAAGGTACTGCAGAATGACGAGTTCACAAAGGATCTCTTTAGGTTTCTGCAACTCCTCTGTGAAGGCCACAACAATGGTAGGTCGACACTTAGAAGAGCTGCATGTCACTGAACAACACCGTTTTAGAAGCTGGGTGGTGTGAATGTACTCAACTACAATTGTTTTATCTTATTTTGTCAATTATTTTTAGATTTTCAGAGCTTCCTGAGAACTCAGACAGGGAACACAACTACAGTTAACATCATTATTAGTACTGTAGACTACCTACTAAGACTTCAGGTATATTATTACAGATTTATAAAAACAAATCCTATAATAATTCATGTTCTTTAATATGCTCAATTATTGTATTCTTCCTCTTTTTAGGAATCCATCAGTGATTTCTACTGGTACTACTCTGGTAAGGATATTATAGATGAGGCAGGTCAGAGGAACTTCTCCAAAGCACTAGCAGTGGCCAAGCAGGTCTTCAACTCTTTAACTGAGTATATACAGGTACCATATCACAACACACACTGATGTAAACCCAGAGCTAAAAGGTCTGATTTTGACGCTCTGTGATTGTCTCTCCTCTCTCTGTACCTTTTGGGCTCCAGGGTCCATGTATTGGGAACCAGCAGAGTCTGGCTCACAGCAGGCTGTGGGATGCAGTGGTGGGCTTCTTGCATGTCTTTGCCAACATGCAGATGAAGTTATCCCAGGTTTGTGTTTTATATCTGCAATAAAGTGGTGGTGCTGCTATGTTTTTGTACTGTACTGAAGTACAGTTTTGAGTTACTTGTACTTGAGTATTTCCATTTTTAATCTACTTCATTTATTTGATTCAAATCATAATCATTGTATTAAATTTGATGCTGCTTTATAGATTAAACTACCCATGAGTTTATTAAATGGTGATATTGGCTCCACTACATCAACTGCTAGACTGAATTTATGAAAAAGATTATCTTTTTGTCTTCATCGGACAGTTTTATTGTATAGATATAGAAAGGAATTACAGGGGGAGAGAGGGAGGTGTGACATGCAACGTAGGAATCCTGCTGGAATCAAATCGAAAGGGTTTGCATTAATGTATGAGCAGAAACTTAATCTTGAGGAAGTGTTCAAGCCACATGCCATTCAAGTGCTTTAACTGTATGGTATGTGTATTAATCATTTGGCTCCCAGATGTTCACAAGATTCAATTTCTACCAATACATTAATACTTAATAATATCCGATAAGATAAAACATTTAATTTGCATGATTATTTTTTTTTATCACTTTAATACATTTCTGTAAAAAAAACAACCTAAATGCAGGAATTTAATTGGTAATGGAGTGCTTTTGAATGGTAGTATTGCTACTTTAGTTAAAATCTGAATATTTCATTCACAAATGGTGCAATATCTGCAGCCACTAGAGGTCTCTCCAGACTCAGGGATAACCTCAGGCTACTGCATTACAATATGTCATTCCACTCAGCTATGTGATGTATGACTCCATCATCTATATTTCCTCCATGCCCAATAAGCCAGAAAGTGGATGAAATCCAGCAGCCTAACCTTATCTCATGGTCATCAGAAAGGACAGTAGTAGCCAGTATGAGGGAGAGCCCAGGTGGAGGGGTTTGAATTTGGCGCATCAAAGTCCGCCTCAGATTTATGGCATGCTGAATACAGACTCCTTCGAGACTCTAAATGAGTCAAACTGACCTAGCCATCTGCTCTTAGACAGTAAAATAACATTAACCCTGGTGCTGATGGATGGATGTTAGCTGGAAGGCCCTGGAAGCAGGGCCATTGTGGGTCCCCACAATCTGAGGCAGCCTTGATCTCTTAGGGATATTAGACAGGATGGCCGTTCTCTGACGGAGGCCATCAGTAGTCTGTGTGATCAACTGTAGTGTCTCACAAGGTTTCCCTTTTTTTGTCTTCTCCTCACAGGACTCCAGCCAGATTGAATTATTGAAGGAGCTGCTGGACCTGCAGAAGGACATGATCGTCATGATGCTCTCCCTTCTCGAAGGTGTACTTTTTGACGACTCACCATATGAGCATATGACCCCAGCAACACTAGTTTGCAAGGATATTGTCTCTCATATGACTTTCATCAAATAGCTTTGTCTGTGTGGAGTGTAATTTAATATTTACCAAAGCAGTTTAGCTTAATCTGCATGGATTGTTGCGGCTTGTTGTTGTTGTTGTTGTTGTTGTTGTGTGTACTGACCAACTTTGCTTTGGTCTCTTTCTCCATTACTTCACAGGTAACGTTGTCAATGGTACTATTGGCAAACAAATGGTGGACACCTTGGTGGAATCTTCCAGCAACGTGGAGATGATCCTTAAATTTTTCGACATGTTTCTCAAGTTGAAGGACTTGACCACCTCGGACAGCTTCAAGGAGTACGACCCTGAGAGCAAAGGGGTCATCTCTAAGAAAGATTTCCAAAAGTCCATGGAGAACCAGAAACAGTATTCACAGTCTGAGATTGAGTTTCTTCTCTCCTGCGCCGAGGCTGATGAGAACGACATGTTCAACTACGAGCAGTTTGTGGAGAGATTTCATGAGCCCGCCAAGGACATTGGCTTTAATGTAGCTGTGTTGCTGACTAACCTCTCTGAGCATATGCCTCATGATGCTCGCCTCGCAACGTTCCTCGACCTGGCTGAGAGTGTCCTCAGCTACTTCGAGCCTTACCTAGGTCGTATTGAGATCATGGGTGGAGCCAAGCGCATCGAGAGAGTCTACTTTGAGATCAGTGAGTCGAGTCGCACCCAGTGGGAAAAGCCTCAGGTGAAAGAGTCAAAGCGCCAGTTTATCTTCGATGTCGTCAACGAAGGTGGTGAGAGTGAGAAGATGGAACTGTTTGTCAACTTCTGCGAGGACACAATCTTTGAGATGCAGTTGGCGTCTCAAATTTCAGAGCCGGACCCAGTGGAGCGTCCAGAGGAAGATGAGGAAGACAAGCCGAGCGTGGTGGAAAGCCAAGAAGAAGAAGAGGAGGAGATTGTGATGTTGGAGTCTTCCTCTGCTTTTACAGTTGCCTGCATCTCCCTGAAAAAAAGCCTCTGCCACTTCCGCCAGCTGCTCACTCTCAAGAGTATGAGGCGGCAGTACAGAAAATTCAGGAAGATGAGCATTAAGGAGATGGTGCGAGGCTTCTTCTCTTTCTTCTGGATGATCATCACAGGCCTCTTCCACTTTGTCTACAGCCTGGTTTGGGGTTTCTTCCACATCTTGTGGACCACTATGTTTGGGGGTGGCCTCGTCGAAGGGGCCAAGAACATGAAGGTCACGGACATTTTGGGAAACATGCCGGACCCCACCCAGTTTGGGATCCACGGTGACGTGTTAGAGATGGAAAAGATGGAGGCGAGTGAAGCGTCGGCGTTGGCGGAGATGGCTCAGATGGCGCAGGGAGATGCTGGAGAGGCGGACCTGATGGCCGAGTTGCTGAACATACAGCCCAAGAAGGAGGGAAAGCACGGGGCAGAGCCAGGTTTGGGGGATGTGTCTGAGGTGGTGGTGGGGGATGCTCCGTCCATCGCTAGTGCTGTCAGGCAGAAGAAGGCGCAGGTCAGTTGAATAAGGCTACTTCTATTCCTAATCATTTCCTAATTGATAGACACTGGAGATGCTAGAACATTATGACTGACATTTTTTACTTATATCAGAACACACTGTTTAAGTGATTGATGGTCAAAACAATGTATTTGTTATAGTTGGCTGCAAAGAAGAGGGCTGTAAATGGAGACCACAAATCGGATTCAGAGAAAGGAGAGTGAGTGTTCTTAACTTGTTCATTGTTCTTCCTCGGTGGATCAATTGATACATCTTTTGTGTGATTGCTTTAAGTATGTATGTCAGATACTTAACGGGATTTAAGTCCTGATGGGATGTGATGTGGGATTGGAGTGTGGGTGAGTTCCAAGAGTAGACTCTGGCTGTACGGTGGTTTTATTATTCTCATGGGTCACATGCAAATGTGTGTGTATATTTATTATGTTGCACCAGCGTGTATCTGTCTGCCACTAATAGCTAAATTACTGTTGCAGTTCAGAAGATGGCGAGAAGAAAGACCATGACAAGGGTAAAGACGAAGGCCCTCCTGAGCCTCCTGTGCAGAAAAAAGTCCCGAAGAAGAGGCTCGGCCAGAAGAAAGAACTACCGGAGGTCTTCATGGCCAGCTTCTTTGCTGGCTTGGAGATCTACCAAACCAAGATGCTGGTCAGATATTTCCCTCCCAGCTCTTTAAAAAAGAATACGACCAAAACTATGTTCAAATCAGCTTGCTGCATATATTCAACTTATTCAGAAATGATTGTTTTCACAGAATTACCTGGCCAGAAACTTCTACAACCTCCGCTTCCTGGCGCTTTTTGTCGCCTTTGCTATCAACTTCATTCTGCTCTTCTACAAAGTAAGCTTGAAATGAAGGTGTAATTATGTATACAGCATTGTGCTTTGGTAAATATCTTTTAAATGTTTCATTGTCTTTCAGGTGACCGGTGAATACTCGGACGATGAAGACCCCTGGAATGGTCGAGGCAGAGCTGGGGAGGAGGAGGAAGATGAGGGTGCACTTGAGTATTTTGTCCTGCAGGAGAGCACAGGTTACATGGCACCAACGCTTCGCTGTCTGGCTATACTACACACTATCATATCCTTCCTGTGTGTAGTGGGATACTACTACCTGAAGGTACATCAACACCAACTGACAAGAAAATACACTAAAGTTTGGTTTTCACCTCAGATTTAGTATTTTTGTTCTACAATTATTTTATTTGCCTTTTAGCATTTCTGCACGTTTCTGTGCAGGTTTTTTTCCACTGTAAGCACTTAATATGTTGTGATCGCTGACATACACACACAGTCACGCACTTCCTGTCGCTTTTAGACAGACTGTATATGTTGATATCAAACACTGCAATGTATATAACTGTATGTCATTTCCTTTACTGCACTAATGATGCAGCCAAACTCCCTTTCTGTCCAAGGTGCCCCTAGTAGTGTTCAAACGTGAGAAGGAGATAGCGAGGAAGTTGGAGTTTGCCGGACTTTACATCACAGAGCAGCCGTCGGATGATGACATCAAAGGACAGTGGGACAGACTGGTAATCAATACTCCGTGAGTCAGCTGCAGTATAGCTGTTCTACTGAGTCATTATCTTATATATACGGAGGGTAATTGCTGATTTGTTTTTTGTTTTCTGTTGTTTTTACCAGTTCCTTCCCCAACAACTACTGGGATAAATTTGTCAAACGCAAAGTAAGTTTATTTTTTTGTGTAATCTGTTATGCAAACACACCACAAACCCATCTGGTGATACCTACTTGTGTACTTTTACTGCTATTTGTAGGTAATCAAAAAGTATGGAGACCTGTATGGAGCTGAGAGGATAGCAGAGCTGCTGGGGATGGATAAGAGCGCCCTGGATTTCAACCCTACAGAGGAAACCGTCGTCAAGGAGGCTTCACTGGTGTCATGGTGAGGGATTAGACGGATAAAGAGCAGTCGGGCTTGAATAGATGCTTCAATGTAGGTCGAATAGAAAATATGAGCCCCTCATATCAACCTTATATTTTTTGCCAGGTTAAGCTCAATCGACACAAAGTACCACGTGTGGAAACTGGGGGTGGTGTTTACAGACAATGTAAGTTTGAATACTGGGATGAGTCATGTCTCTGTTTTGAGGGTTTATGGATGGCAAAGTGAATGATTTGATGGATGGGTGGAACAAATGAGGTGATTGATATACCGAACAGATTAATTCTGATCAACTTCTCATTTTGTTTCTCTGCCAGTCATTCCTGTATCTGGTATGGTACACCACCATGTCCATCCTTGGCCATTACAACAACTTCTTCTTCGCTGCTCATCTGCTGGACATCGCCATGGGGTTCAAGACCCTTCGCACCATCCTGTCCTCTGTCACACATAACGGCAAACAGGTGAGGATGAGGAGGATGCAGGTCTTCTTCCAAGCAGCAGGGGTCACTGCAGAGTTAGTGGTCGGGTTGGGTTGTAACCACCTCCTGTTTATTCCATGATGTGCAACCACAAGCCACTTTTATCACGGTTTCCATATTCCTGCAACACTGAGGGCGTTTTGAGTAATATTAGTGTCAAGCCGGTTGATAACTCCGTCAAATAATGATGCATATCTGTCTCATCTGAATAAATAAATGTCTCATTTTACTTAAGATTGCATCTCAAAAGATAACCATGACATCATCTGTGATCTACTGCTTGATTTAATTTTTTTAATGGCTTATTTTACACAAGAAAATAAACAAACACCTTTGAACAGAATTGTGCAAGCTGCAGGATTGTTGTGCATTTCTTTCCACAAACTTAAAGCCACCAGAGTACTAAACCTTAATATGTTAATATATTAGCAACATGGCTGTCCAATTCGATTTTGTGTCTGGTCACCTGAGTAATCCTACTCACCGTTTAACTCTGATTTGGTCTACCAACTCCTGGGAGATATATTCTTCTCTGCACTTTCTGTACATGTCTGGTACTGGCAGGTATCACACTTGTGTCACCTTCTGTTCAACATGTTGTAATGGATAATCAATTTTAAAACGATGCTTGCTTGAGCAAGAATGTGTCATTCAGTAAATATTTTTGTTGTATAATTTCCCGTATCTTTACATCCAATAAATGCATCTCTCCTTCATTAGATAATTGAGAGAACTAAGGCAAAAGGGAGAGATACAAGTGGAGGAAGTGAGGATACGGGGCGACCGTGGCTTACTGGGTAGAGAGGGTTGTCCGCCAACCGAAAGGTCACCGGTTTGATCCTCGGCTTCGATCCGTGTCCTGTGTCGAAGTGTCCCTGAGCAAGACACTGTACCCCTAACTGCTCCCCGGGCGCCTGTCATTGGCAGCCCACTGCTCCCTATATATACAGGGATGGGTCAAATGCAGAGAATAATTTCCCCACTGTGGGACTAATAAAGGAATGTTTCTTCTTCTTCTTCTTCTTCTTCTTCTTCTTCTTCTTCTACGTACTGTAAATGTGAATTGAGATGCACCCAGTATTCTTTGACATTTGAGTTCAAATGGCTCACTCCCAATGCTGACTGACAGCTCTTCCGGGGGACTCTCATGTCAACTGCCCAGAGGCAGAAATCAAAATTGAATGTCACCTCAATCTCAAAGGGGGGAAATGCTCCCAAATGGCGAGGCCGCAAGGAATCTGTGTGCAGGCCCATTGCACCGTCGCTCCAAGTGCAGTTTACTGCTGCTTCCACTGTTGTCATCAGTGAGGGAGCTGCATCTGAATGGAGCTTTATATAAAGATTTATTTATATAAATGTGTGATTGGTTACTACGCTAAAGTCTCTCATCCCTTCCACTCATTTGAGCTCCTTCTCACCGCCTGCTCTTCGGTCGCCGCCAGCAATCTACGTAGAAAATAAATGAAAGCTGGCAGCTTTGTTTAGAGTGTTTCTACACCAAAGTACATAAATAGACAGGAAGTTGGTTGTGACATTTCACTGACTGCCATCTGCGTTTCTCTAAAGCTGGTGTTGACAGTGGGCCTGCTGGCAGTCGTGGTCTATCTCTACACTGTGGTGGCCTTCAACTTCTTCAGGAAGTTCTACAACAAGAGCGAGGACGAGGATGAACCAGACATGAAGTGTGACGACATGATGACCGTAAGCATCAATCACATGTTTCTAATTAGAGACGCACCGAGATACCAACACTCTGACTCAGAGGGGTCTGTACTGGCTGTGTTTTCACAGTGTTACCTGTTCCACATGTACGTTGGGGTGAGAGCAGGAGGGGGCATTGGGGATGAGATCGAGGACCCGGCTGGTGACCCCTATGAGCTCTACCGCATCCTATTTGACATCACCTTCTTCTTCTTTGTCATCGTCATCCTCCTGGCCATCATCCAGGGTAAGCTCCTTTTTGTAGCCAGAAACACAAAGACACTGGTATTCCACACAGACTTTGCAATACTCATCACAGCAGTAGATCCACGTGACGGTCCATACTGTATCGTTAGGAGGCAAAGCGTGTAAGATTGGGGTTTCACAGTGACAGTAGCTATGATGAGCCCACAGAAAATCCTTTGTGGTTGCAGGTTTGATCATTGATGCCTTTGGAGAGCTGAGAGACCAGCAGGAACAAGTCAAAGAGGACATGGAGGTGAGAGTCGAGTTAATTCTCACCCATACTTGCCAACCTGTGGAGTGTGATGGTGAAAGTTACAAAGTTAAAGCAGATAATTGTATAAAGTAAATTTTTGAACATTAACTGAAAATGCAATCGTATTAATATTGTATCATATTAGATTAATGAATGCTGACTTTAAAAGTAGCCTAAAAATGATTGAAACACTAGCCCCTGTTTTGCAGTAGTCTATTCACATGCTGATAGTTGTTACATTGATTTACCATGCTAGTAATTTACGTACTTAATGTATTTGATATTAACGGGGGTAAGTGCTTCAGCTTTCATCAGCTTCTGTGTTTGCAGGCCAGTCGATATAAGTAGCAGCGTCTATAAATTTATAAACCAGCGAACACTGTTGCATTTTCCAGTTGCCAAATATCTTTAGTGTTGTGATCAGTTCATTTCTGGCAGATCTTGTCTAAACTGTGAGGAAATATTCTTAGAAATGTTGTAATTCTATGAATTGTCTTCACTTGGAGTAACTCTTTGTACAAGGAAGCTTTATGAATACGGCGCCGGGTCATTAAAAGATTCCAGAGACGGGGGAAAATAAATAGTTTGAAAAATTAGTGAATGAAGTTAGCCCAGATAACCCAGATGACTATTATGATGATCATTATAGTTGTTATTTTTCTGAGAGAAAGACTATACACAACACTATAGTATACAAGTAAGCTGACCTTTTGTGTGTGAAATCAGAGGAGTGCCGCTTTAAAAATGCAGCAAAATGTCCAAAAGAGAGCAGGTGCTCTTATTATCTTTTCATTTTCTGTCCTCAGACCAAATGTTTCATCTGTGGGATCGGTAATGACTACTTTGACACAACGCCTCACGGCTTTGAGACTCACACCTTACAAGAGCACAACTTGGCCAACTACCTGTAAGTATCCCGCTTTCAAGCATTTTCGTCTGTTACCAACCTGTGTTGCATCTTTTCTGTAATTTAACCACATGATTGATGGCTTTAACGCGTAACCACAGCATCAGGGCCAAAGTCACTAATAGCCGCAGTGATCCAGAACACTAGATCCCTTCAGGTATTCTTTCCATCTGTCTCTCTGTTTCCCCCACACTTCCTGCGTATCCGTGTTTCAGTGTAATGCCCGTGACAAAACAAAGTCTCAGTCCATTTGCTCTCACAGTCAGCTGGCCGGAGGATATGAGAGCGACCTCATTATGTTGCTTCATTGCTATTTAATGCTATGAACTTTATTGGAAAATAGCTTTGTGATAGCGTGCCCTCTTACAGGATTCATCAGGATGTGGCAGGCTGCGATCCGCACTGAGATACAGGGTCCAATTGCCATTTACACTTGATTTGGTAACACAACAGGTGATTGGGTGATGTTTCTTTGCTTGACACTTGCATCACAAATTGTCTCTCGTAACACAGAATGTGACATTTCCTGTTAATGCGGTGTTGGAGAAATCAGATGTACCTCAGCAAAGGCTTTTTTTTTTCTACTCTGATATTTAGGTAGGAGAATGCGAGAGCTCGTCTAGCTCTTTTTGGTGTGACATTTTTGTTTTGTCTCATTGGCCTGGCTTTCTCTACAGGTTTTTCCTGATGTACCTTATCAACAAGGACGAGACAGAACACACGGGCCAGGTACAGTATGACTCTATATAAATAATAAATAATGAAATTATAAGAATTATTGTCCTGTCGCTGTCAGAGATAATATGGTGTTGTCTGTGATTTAAGGAAAAAATGTTTTACAAAAATGTGCAAACACAGGCATTGAAAGAGTGAGCATAATAACCACAATAATTCATTTTCTGTTGTTTTGTTAGCTTACAGAATGAATGTTATTTGACAACAGCTGAGTAAATCAATTTGGCTCTAATGACAGCTGACATTATTGATGCCATCATGACAACTACAATTGCAGTTATCAACCTAAACATGAACATCTACACCCTATTAAGATAGTGGATTATTTAAATAATAACTGCACTTTTTCAAATCACATTTTGATAAATAATGTAATTGTTCAGCTCTTGTTTCAGCATATTTTTTGAATGGATATACATATTGGTTTATGTCCAACTGGTTGTAATTTTGGGAAACTCTTTAATGTCCGTGTGTGTGTGTGTGTGTGTGTCCAGGAGTCATATGTGTGGAAGATGTACCAGGAGCGCTGCTGGGATTTCTTCCCAGCGGGAGATTGCTTCCGCAAACAGTACGAAGACCAGCTTGGATAGAGCAGATGCATCCTCTTTACCTCTGTCCTTATAAAGTGGGCTGCTGGAACGTGTAGTCCTAAATACAGCTGCTGGACTACAACACCACACAGTCATCCCTCCAACGTTTCAGGCTGGCCGGAGGAGAGACCAAACTACTTTTTGAATCTAAAAAAGAGAAACGTCTCCGACCCGTGTCAGTGCCAGTCTACGAGGATACGATATGTAACTTTCACAGACATTTCGTTTTTTTTTTGTTTTGGGACTCGTCTTTGACAGCGTGTTGCCTTTTACTCCACATAACCCCAAGTCATTGCACAATATTTTTTTTTTGTCTTTTTGAGAAACACTGGGTTGTGTGGGGTTATGGGACAATGTGTCAGTCATATTATGCACAAGAACCCAACTTCAATATTTTGAGAATGTTGAACTTGAGACTTAATGCCAAAAGAAAAGTGGAGGAGTTCAGTAGATTTACATTGTGCGCAAAAAATGTGACGTGAGAATTTTTTTTCCAGATGTTGTAACCTTGCATATTGAGATACAGTTTTAGAATGAAGTGGCAAAAAGGTTTATTATGTAGGATTAAAAAAAATGCCTAATTTTTTCATGAAGTGCCTTACAGTACTGTATCTACATTACAATGAAGCTATGCAAAACCTTTGTTTCTTCTTTATTGTATGTAAGTACAGTAATTCTCCTGGAGCAGTAACAAGTAGCTGTCCAGATACATAGTTTGTGGCTGAACTTTCTCATTTTTCAACAGCATTTGTTTGATTTGACAGATTTTTATTTGCTGAATGCAGCATAATTGCAAATGTTCAAGGTACAAAGTGTAAAAATTACTCATCAGAATTTACTGATCACTTTCAAACGGAACAAAAATGTAATTGCTATTGTATGGCCATTTATATGTAGTAGCTTTGCGGATCTGTGCATTTCTTTTGATGGAAAAAAATAAAGAAATCAATGCAAGAAATATTTGTTTTGGACAAGTTATTTCAAGTCCTGAAGCTCTGACAGTGAGTCATATCGGTCTCAAAATCAGCAAGATGCAACAGCTGCCTCTGCAGCTAATCCAAATCTTTTCAAAATAAGATGCTGTGTGCAGCCCTTGGCTTTAGTTCTAAGTTAATTTGACTCGCCACAAACCTCAAAGCTATATCATAGCCGTGACCATCCTGCAGCTTTTAAGTACCGTGTGGTACTTCTGGTTTGGTCAGAGAGGTAGGACTGGGCCCCAGTGGGCTGCATGATGGAAGTTTTAGCCCTATTACCCATGGTGCCACCTGTCGGCTCACATCATGTCACCACACCTCAGGCGCCACACAGTGCTGCAGTCTGCTGCTGAGAGCAGGTCTGCCTCCTCACTTTATGCCTGCAACAGCTCCAGCATGTTCACTGGTTCTTATGGTTCGAGCACACTGCTGAGGAAATGGTATTTTTAAGATAAAAAAGGGACTTATTTGCATCATTGCTCAAAAAGTGAATAACTGCAAGATTGAAAAGCCACATTTCCCTAAACACCAAAAAAAACTGCGACTGTCCTAGTAAATAGTTAATGTGGTTGTGGATGCACTGTATAAAAAATGTATATCTGAGGAAACTCAATTCAAAGTTTCAGTTATTGTATTCTATGCTCTAACAAGCTGCTGCATTATTTAGCATATTATGTGTCCATTGTGGGAACAGGAGAAAATGATGTGGGAAGTCACGGATATGATCATTCTCAATAATTTGGCATAATGAAAGCTGTGGGAAGCCTTTCTCGACATGAAATGGTAACAATTAAGCCATCAAATAGCTGGAGTCATATAATACCTATTAAATTCTAGTGTATCTCTGGTGGCAGCAAAATGAAGTTAGGCCTGTAATTTTACTCTCAAATGACTTGTTGATGAAATGTATTCCACATTAGTCGGGTTCCAGCAAATATTAGAAATATTGGACTTTTTCATGGTTTGAAGTGTCATCCGATTCTGTTTCCAACAAACCAAACCAGCCTTGAAATATGTTAGTGTAATATGCAATTAGCTAACACATAATCTGGTTTTGTATAATAAACCCCGTACAGGCAATAGAGAGAGGTTTCTGATGAGGTTCTCATTGTTACATTTTATTAATATATTCTGCTCTATAAAGATACAAGGAAATATACTCTAGAGACCATCTTGCAACGGGATAACACCAGCAGCGATGTCATAAAGTCCCCGCTTCCTGGCCCCCTACTTCTATCTCCCTTGCTCTGACCACACCTATCTTTTAACTTGGCCTTCATTTTGATCTCGACTACACACCTTTAACGTTTTGTGACTGCATCTTGCACAACTGCGACTCTTATCTTGGTTACAAAATCTGTCCACAGAAATATAAACACACGGCATAGAACTCCGAACCGTCTCCCTGGTAGCTCCTGCTACATCAGGTGTCTCCAGGACCACCAGGTGCCATGACGACACGCAGACTCACAAGGTGAAAACAACACCAGTCGAACACCCCTGAGAAGAACTGACGCATCAAAGTGCACTCAAAGTGCCTTACACAGTTACTCCATTATGTTACCCGGGACAAGAAACAGAGAGAGGGTCATTTAGCGAGCAGCTTGTTGCCAGCAGCTCCTCACACACACCAGGGGCTTGATCCCCAACACAGAGCTGTTATTAAACAGGACACATGGCCAGAGAATGACACAACCCAGGGGACATGTTACACGTCATTCCACCACTGTCCTCTGCAGGTAGAAGAGATTAACAGCTTTCTATCATTTAGATGACTCTAAAACTTGTACAAACTGTTTGTTTTGGTTGACATCTGTGGTTTGAAATTAGACTGAACTTGGAGTGCCGATTAGGAAATATCAGCCTCCTATCTGTGTTGCTTCCAGTAGGCAATATTCTTGAGTGTAATCTTGCGTGCTGTAATGCATAACCCCTGAAAGCCGTATCCGGTCTGTTAGCTCCTGGTGCACAGCGTGGTGGAGTGACGGGCAGGTCTGGAGAAAAATAGAGAGAAGCTTGAGTCACAATCCTCGCCGTCACCTTCCGCTGGCAACCTGCAGATAAAACCTCCAAGTGGTGACAGGCCACTGCATAGTCCTATTGATGCATCCCGTCAGTGTTTGAGCCTTTCAATCAACATCACACAGCAAACACCACCTCAACCACTAAACCAAAAGGAAGAGAGACAATTTGGGTATTTACCCTCTTCATTAGACAAGTGTAATCAACTCTGAAGGCCTTTAATGGATAACTGATTTTCGCTTGGTACTGATTTGCGTCTAGCATTCTGCTCACCTTGACCTGAGCCTCACTGTCATCACAATTGACGACCTGCCTCTGTGTACTTGAAAAAAAGTCAAGACCTAAACCTGAAAATGACAAATTACATCTATGCATCTATGTGCGGATGATACATAGATTTAAACTGTTTTAAAATCTCATTTTAAGCATAAAAGAAACAAGTTAAGAATCAAATTTTGGCCGAAAATTGTTCTCTCAGTTATCACGGGGACAGTTGACATGGAGCTTAGTCAAGATAATGATTTCATCCACAGCACTTTTAGGATCCTCCATGTTGCTTAACAGTTAAACGTGCTTGACCTTTGCGCTAGTATAATTGTGAAATTGTTTAGGCTACAAAATGTCAGACAATGCTGAAAAATGGCGCGACATCCCCAGAGCCCAAGGTGACATCTTCAAATTCCTCATTTTGTCCAATGAAGATTCAAGACCCAGACATATCCAGTTTGTAATAAAATAAAATGGAAAAAGAAGCAAACCCCTCGATGGAAACTTGATTATCAAAATAGTTGCAAATTAATTGACTATTCATTTCAGCTCTTTTGACAACTGAGCAACTCCATCTGCTGAAGAAGACCATGAGGTTGAAAGCTAAAAAAGTAGTTGGCAAACCTCATGTTGTGCTTATGTCAAACGAGACTGGGCATTATGCAATCAGACTTAATTTTTCAAGATTGATAGATGCTACTACTTAAAACAACAGCATTTTTGCTCAGATTAAACAGTAAATGTTGTCAATTTAGGAGATTCCTTTTAAAGAATAATTGTATTCTGTCCTCATTTCACACACTGCGGTACTGGCATCCACCTCTTTGACAGATGTGTTCTTCTCTGAAGCACCTTCTACATCAATAAAGCTTATGTGAGACTTTAAGTGTGTGTGTGTGTGTGTGTGTGTGTGTGTGCGCGCGCCAGAGAGAGACAGAAAAAGAGAGGTCAAATGTTAAAGATTGTTTTTATTATTTTATCTTAAGCTGACATCTGTCAGTGACACCTTGTCACACTTGTAACACCTAATTGAACTAGGTTCAATTGGTTTGACTGTGACTGAGTGGTTAAGGGTGACATCTGTTGGTGTCACTGATCCTTATTGGGAGGCTTGAGACCAGGTCTGATGTGGTCTATGTTATGTGAGGACAAGAGTTGCTTCATAGCCCGTTTGAGCGACACATCAACCACAAAGTTCCGTATCTTCATCCTCTAAGGTTTTCCTCTGGCTGCGAAGCGATTGGGATTGATAGATCTGTGTTGTTTAACTTGATTAAGTTTGAGGGTGCAAAACACAGTTGGTGCAGTTGCTTCTGTTGATTTTCTGGGACATGCATGCTGCACTGAGGCAATTTTCAGGGTGTTTAGGTTTAGAAAGCATAAGTGGGAAACCCTTCACTCGCTATTGTCACAGAGAGACAATATACTTCATCTTCCTAAGACAGTGACACAGACCCCCTAGGAGAACTAACATGTTTTATGTTAGTGCCCATCACTTTCAAAGTGGCTACTGGCAAAACAATGTTCGACATGACAATGAAACCACAAACCTTGTTGTACTGAAATCCTGATAGATTTAACAACTCATTTATATTTTTATCATATATCAGATACCTGAACATCATCTCTGGTTAAATGGCCTTGTCCTTGGATTTATGCAGAAACACCAGGTCTTAGGTTCTCGTCTAGGGGATCCGTTACATCTCCAAGGTCAGACAGAGGAACTTTAGCCCGCGGCTGCTGAGTAACTGAATGCTGTAATGGCCGCAGTGCAGGTGCACAGTGAGGTGAGGTGAACGGGGCTGAGCTTCGTACTCCCCGGGTGTTCTATTGCGCTGATACGGCAAGGGACAAGTCAAGTGCAGATCCAGCTCTGACACCGGGCCGCCAAACTGGAGAGGAGGAATGACAAATAAGAGCAGTGTGCAAATGGAACTTTCCAAGCTTGTATATTATGATTGGGGATAAACTTTTGATTATAGAATTTGTTCATCTGCATTGCACATGCCATCATTTTGGGAAATATGCGTCTACGCTTTCTTTTGAAAGTAAGATGAGGAAATCAATCTTTCATGTCTGTCCATTAACTTTTAATATGAAATTGTAGCTAGCAACCAGCTACTGCAAAATCTGCCTTAGATAGTTTGCAGAGAGAATATGTTTGGGGCAGCGTGGAGATTTGTGCACATCCCGGATCTTCATGCAACTGCTACATTAACGTACAGAGACAAGATGAACCCGGTCGGTGTGCCCGTTGCTAGCTATCTTACAGCTAACATCAGTAGCTACAGTTGGTGTTTGGTACAAATAAACACTATAAATAAATGGTCATGAGAATGGGGGGAAACAGCTTGCTCACTGACCAACATGTCAACCTGTTTAACCTGTGAGAAAAAGTCAAGTTGAGGTTTTAAGGGTACAGCTCCGAATATCTAGGACGGCTTAACTGGAGAGGTTAAATGTCACTGTGTGCTGTGTGACAATACAAGTTGATTTACATTTTATATTTGCGTTTTACTTTTACATTTATGTGCCAGAGCCATGAGGCTAACTTTTTCTCTCAGCAAGAAACTGAAAGATATTTCCCAAAATGTCAAAAATTCCTTTGACATATCTTGTATGACTCCAGGTCTCTGATCCTGATCACGCTTAACTTTTCTGCAGGCAACAAACCCTTCGATGTGATGCAAAG